ATCTATAACATTATTGATGTCTCATACTGAAAATCTATATACAGTAATTTAAGTGGTATCTGTCTCACTGTCGTAGTGTAAAATCTCAGACTCGGAATTTCTTGTGCAGTGATTTTGTGCAACTGAATTGAATCAGGAGATTGGTGGGATTCTTGAGGATAGTATAGAAGGACAAAGGGTGCTGACTCAGTAGCATTGCTCACTTGAGCAACACACTCTCCTGCAGAGTGATGCAATTTGGGACTGGGCCCACAATTCCAAGCATAACCTGACTGGGAGGGATATCATTCCTATTTCATGCCACCCAGTCCATTTCAATAGAATTCTAGATTGAGGGTTGCGGAGGTGGTTGAGAGAGTAAATAGTAAAAAAACTGTTTCCTCTGGAGGGTGGGTTGGTAATAAAGGACACAAATTTAAGATAATTGGCAAAAGAACCAGAGGGGAGAGACGAGGACATTTTTTTCTATCCAGAGAGTGGTTATGATCTGAAAGGTTGTGGAAGCAGATTCAATAGCAGCTTTCAAAAGGGAATTGGATAGACACTTGAAAAGGAAAAATTTGCAGGTAAGAACGGGGGAGTGGGACTAGTTGGATAACTTTCAAAAAGCCAGCACAGGCACGATGGGCTGAATGGCCTCTTTCTGTACTGTAAGATTCTATGATTCAATGATATGGAAAAGAGATCAACAGGTTCCACTACTTTTAGATTACCGTTTGTCTTGACGTTTTTAATTTGGGTAGCCAAATTTGTGAAACAAACATGTTTCCAAAAAGACAACAGAAAAATAAAATAGAGATGAAGATTTATTTTTCAAAAACGATAGAAAGTAATTTGAAGAGATTTAACAACAACTTGCATTTATATAGCGTCCTTCATGTGGGGTAGAGTCCCAGTACGCTAAAGCAGACACTGAGACAAATCTTAATCTGGCCAAAATTGGTGAGTTAAAATTATCCTGTCTATTGGATGTAAAGATTGTAAGGGAAATAAATTGATCTCAAACTGTCTCCACTTCATCACAAATTATCACTAACAGGCAATGGCTGGTGGGAAGTGGAACACTTCATTCTGCTGCAGCAGCATGTTTTCTGCCTGAGGCTCGAGTTAACAAAAGTACTTTGTTGGAGCAGACTAGACAGAGCTGTAATCTGCATCTGCCTCATGTTTTAGCTGAGTTTAACTAGGTCTTTAATGCTAATACTTAATATTAAAAATGAAATCCATTATTCTGCATTGACGTTGCTCAAATGCATGTAAAATTCAAGGGAAAATGAAATGTTAGGAGTGCAAAATCCTGTCAACAGATTAACTTACAATAATTACATTTGGCACAGATATGTTGGGCCAAATGATACTCTACTGTGCAAAAACATTGCATACGTCTATACAGTATTTATTCATTCCTGATGCAAAAAGAAAGCTGTTTCTCAGTCTGGGAGCTTACAAAAATAAAACCACTATCAGAGAGAATAAGAGACTTGCTTCGAGAAGAAAGTCGTACAGTATCATGGTTCCACTGCACACTCTGAAATCCCCAAGGATTATTCCACAATTCCTGACAGTGGCTTTGACTGAAGTGGGTTTCACATCAACTGGCAACTCATATTTGTCAGATTCAGCCAGGCTTGAAATTATCTTAAAAATTATGTAGAAATTGCAGCTCTTTACTGCTAGTTATGTTTGTGCTGTCTCTGTGGTTGAATCTGTTTTTTTTCTCCTCCGCTATCCACTGAAACTGTAGTCAGTGGCATTATGTTAGCTGTCGGCAATGTGATTTCTGTACGTTTAACTGGCTGGATTAATTTACTGATTTTTTAGGTGTATTTTCTCCCTACTCCCTTTTTAATCTTTATCAGCTATGGGTGTTTCTTGGCTGTGAAACCCACTCGCTCGCCTCTATCAATGCCTCTTTGTTGAGGTCTTTGGATGTTTTATATGAGATCTCTTTCAATGGCTGATTCCTCCTCCATTTTCCTGTTCTTTTCCAGTTTAAGCACACGATGCTCACATACCAATGATGTGGTATGCTGATGACATAACTAGAATTTGGAATTCAACAAGTTAGGAATTATGATTGAATTTGAGTCTTATTAAAAAAAGGAAAAATGACAAAATATAATCGACCTGAAACGTTAACGCTCTCCATAGATTCTGCCTGACCCGCTGAGTGTTCCCAGCGACCTTTGTTTTTATTTGAGTTTTATTATGTTGTTCCTCTACATTCTGTATTGTAGCAATTTGGCTGATGTTACAATCTAGTATTGAAGGAACACTGCATTAAGAGTGTCCTGTCTGCCTGTTAGAACATAAGAACGTAAGAATTAGGAGCAGGAGTAGGCCATTCAGCCCCTCTAGCCTGCCCCACCATTCAGTAAGATCATTGCTGACCTATTCTAACTCCATCTACCCGCCTTATCCCCATATCCCTTAATCCCTTTATCCACAAGAAATCTCAATCTCAGTCTTGAATATGTTCAAGGACTGAGCATCTACAGCCCTTTGGGGTAGAGAATTCCATAAATTCACTACCCTCTGAGTGAAGAAGTTTTTCCTGAACTCAGTGCGAACAGGCTTACCCCTAATTTTAAGACTGTGACCCCTGGTTATAGTTTCTCCAACCGGGGGAAAAAGTCTCCTACTATCTATTCTGTCGTGCCCCTTAATAACCTTATAGGTTTCTATAAGATCACCTCTCATTCTTCTATATTCTAAATTGCTCAACCTATTCTCATAATGTTTCTCTCACAAATATACAGTCAATTCACTTTACAGTATATTCTGTGAAGTGCTTTGAGAAGTCTAGAAGACGTGAAAAGCGCTATATCAAATGCAAGGATTATTCTTATTATTTGAAATGATGCCTTTGCATTTTGCCATGCACAGAATTGGCTGCCACATTCACCTACAAATAGTCACTACACTTCACAATAAAATCCTCTGATGCATTTTGAGACATCTCAATGACATTGTATAATGTATAATGCAAGCTACATTGTTTCCTTCCCTTTTTTTGTACCTTCAAACAAACTTTTTGTGACTGTTCTCGTTGCTGTGGATTTTCAAGATACCAGGACACTATCCTCATTCAAATTACACTAGAATACATTAGAATATACAACACAGAACCAGATCATTCGGCCCAAATGGTCTATGCCGGTGTTTATGCTCCACATGAGCGTCCTCCTGCCCTTCCTCAACTAAGCCTTCAAGCACAAATTCACAGGGAAAAAAACAATTGGTCATTTATTTCATTGCTGTTTGTGGGACACTACGGGCAGCACAGATTAGCTTGCATAGTTAACTTCAAAATAACTTGTGTGAAATACTTTTGACACGTAATAATGTAATAATGTGTTAGATTGTGTTTTTTAATACAATACTTTCACAAAAGTATAAAAGGAGAGACTAATGCCACCTTCTGGCCATTAAGCACCTAAGCAAATAAGAATCACACTAAAAATTTTAATTGGGAAGACGCAAAGTGCAGACCCTTGGGATGGTGGGACAACAACAACAAATCACATTTATATAGCGCTTTTCACGTCAGGACGATGTCCAAAAGTGCTGGATTCATGCCCCATTCTTCAAATATGGAGTTCCAAATTCCAATGGAGAGGTAATGGAAAGAGGCCAGGTTCTTGCCCACAGAGAGAGGGAAAATCTGAGAAAATTTAGAAATCATTTGAATTGCTGGGCCAATAAGATATGTAAATATGCTGATTAACAAGTTATTCAATCATCGATTGAATGACTCGGGATTAGAGGAGAAAGGTCTCACAATCTAAATTCTGTAGAGGGCTCTGTGAGGATCAAACAAATCTGTGAAAGAAGTATATGTGGAAAGAAATGTTGGGTTGGAAGTTTGATTTAATATGAGTGCACAGAACAGACATTGTTTCAACAGTAGAGTAAGTGGATTTTGGAGAACTGCGAATGAAATTCAGCACACTCACTAATCTACTGAATGCTTTTTAAGTTAATACATTGGCAGAAAATCTATATCTTAGGTCACTCACTACAAGGAAAGGGTTTTAGAAAATCTGTCTCCGGAGCAACCTTTGTATTTGTGTTTGCCTCATTAGAATTGATGATATTTTCATTGCATCGTGGGAAAATTATAGATATTCCTAAAGTACAAAAACAACTTTGAAAGGCTGCTGTCAATTGCCTGTTCAATGAAGTTTGATATTCTTATCCAAATTGTGTACAGTATTTCATGACAAATATATTTTAGAATTGCCTTTCCATCGATAATAGGTTGTGTTGCTTCAATTCTCTAAGTACAAACTAGCTCCACTTCAACTCTTTATTTTTTATCGTCTCTATTAGTGGATGAATGGGAGAGTGGAAGATCCAATAGTGACATACAGCTGGTTCCAAGAAAGTCAGACATGAAAGACCTATCTATTACGGAACAGGTCTGTGGAAAGTCTAGCTCAAGTGAAGATCAGTTACTAAGAGCAGGCCATGGTCAAGTGAAAAAACGCAAACTGATTTTGTGCAGTTTTGCCATATGGAGTGCTACACAGTACTCTTGAATGGAGAGAGGGAAGGAAACGATGTAGCTCGCATTATACATTATACAATGTCGTTGAGATGTCTCAAAATGCATCAGAGGATTTTACTGTGAAGTGCAGTGACTATGTGTAGGTGAATGTGGCAGCCAATTCTGTGCATGGCAAAATGCAAATGCACCATTTCAAATAATAAGAATAATCCTTGCATTTGATGTAGCGCTCTATCGTGTCTTCGAGACGTCTCAAAGCGCTTCACTGAAAGTATACTACAAAGTTAATCGACTACATTCTGCGGGCGCAACGCGGCAGCCGATTGCGCGCAGCGGCAGCAGCGTCCCGCAAGCGGCCGCGGATTCAGTAGAACAGTTTACGGAATGGATACTTCAAGGAGTGAGCTTAATAAAAAAAATAAAAATTTTCACTGAAAGCAAAGTCGACGCTGAGCTGTGCTCGCACCAAGAGCGCTGCGTTGAGTGCAGGTGCTGTGGAGGGGGTGACGTGTGCCGGGAACAGTCGAGTCCCTTCGGCTGTTTCCGACCTGGGCCGTGACGTCAAGCGAGTGCGACGACAGCGGCGGCTCAGTCCAATCCCGAGATGGAAGGGAACAGGGACGAGGCGGATCGCTGTACGGAGATCGGTTTGAACGCCTTGAAACACGGCAAGAGGGAGGAAGCGCTGAAGTTCTTGCGGAAAGCTCAGAAGCTGTTCCCGACGAAAAAGGTTAAAGGTAAGAAGCCTCGCGAACAGGCGCCGGTGTGGGGCTGAGGAGTGATTTCAGGCGAGGCCTGGGATTCAAGAGCGGGGGAGCCGGGGGGCCCGGGGCCCGGTGGTGGGGGGGGTGGGGGTGGCCGGGAGTTGTAGTTGAGCAGAAATGGCGCAGTGTGTTACTGGAGGCTGAGCACACTACAACTCCCAGCGTGCACTGCGCGGCGCCTGGCGAGTTTCTCTTCACTCCCCCTTCCTTCCCTCCCCCACATCCCCTCTTTCTCTCCCCCCTTTCCCTCTCTCCCCACTCCCCCTCCCCGCCCCCCTCATTCTCTCACCCCCCACCCCCGCCACCACCCCCTCGCGCTCTCTCCCCCCCCCCCCCCTCGCCGGCCCCAAATTGTGGTCGGTTTTTTTTAAAAAAAACGATTTTCTGAACCAATTATAAACCGCGGTCTGACCGGGTTTCAGAACGTCACTCGGCTCGGTGTCCATCAGGGTTTCTCATATACACATATATATAGATATAGATATATATATAGATATAATATAATGCCGTATTCCAATGGGTTTATCATCCAGGTGACCACGCGTGTCCCACACAACGTTCCCACCCGATGAGAGAGAAGCTGCAGTGGCAGTGGTGTGTGTGTGTGTTGTGGTGGTGGTGGTGGTGGTGGGCACTTGGTGTTGTGATTCCTCTTTGGTTGATGTGACGGGGAGTTTTGAACTGCGATATTTGTTGTGGTGGGTGGGGGTAGGAGTGGGGGGAGAGGGGGTCAACACCGACCATCAAAGCGCTGTGCTTTGCCGACGGATCGGAGAGATCCATTCGCAACTCTCGAATTTGTGGACAGTTGCATTGCTGGGATGGGTGTCCGAGAATGGGTTTGTGCTGTGAGTGTTGACCTGGGGTACAGCACACATGGCAGAGAGCAGGAAAATGGCAGCTCTGTCTCGCTCGTGATTTGGAGTGCCCAAGGTTACGTCATGTTAACTCACTGCTTTACCTGTGTGTGTTGTGTGGGGGGGAATCCTGGAAAACAGAAATATCTCGAGCAAAACAGAGGGAGAGGGAGGTGTGTGTGTGTGTATGTGTATAGACACATGCAGTTAACTTGTAAACATTTGGATTGTGACCAGGAAGATTGTGCCCCTCTTGAAGAAATCTTTGCTGTACATCATCAGCTCTTCTCTCCTCCCTTCCCCACACACACCATGCATGATTTGTGCATCCAAAAATATAGATATTTTCCATGTCGAATCATTTTTGTTGAGTCCGACTTATTCGCACCATTGGATCTGGAAAATGAGGCTGTCCCATGTATCATCAAACTGTGGTAATGATTGCCAGCTCATTTAAAGACCAAAGTTCGAACTAGACCATTAGTAGATGTGCTAATACACATTTTTCAAATGCCAACACTGGACTAAACCATGTAACTCAGAATTTGTTCTTTGCCAATTATTTCAGTGCGTTGTTTTTCCATTTCTAATATTTAGTTTGTAAACAGTCCTGTTTGTTTTGCTTGTTTATTCGGCCTCCACCCTCTGCCTGCACCCCTGCAATTCGTCTGCCTTGCCCCTTCCCTTGCCTCCTTCAAGACCCTCCTCTTTGACCGTGCCTTCGGTCACCCTCCTTCCCCCCCTTGTCCCCCACCCTCCAGCTCGGGTCGGAAACACTGATTGTCCAGTGCCTTGGAACATCATCCCAATATGAAAGGTGCTATACAAATGTAATTTTGTTGTTTATGTGCGAAAAACCGAGGCCCTCCTGATTGGCTCACGTCAGCGCCTCCGCACCTCAGGCGCTGACACCATCAGCATCCAAGGCTGCACTCTCCACCTCTCAAAGCCAGTCAGGAACCTCGGCGTTTTGTTCGACCCTGAGCTGTCCTTTCTCCCTCACATCCGCACCACAACTGGCACCGCCTTCCATCACCTTCGGAACATCGCCAGACTACGGCACTACCTCACCCCTCACGCTGCTGAAACCCTGGTCCACGCCTTTGTCACCTCAAGGCTGGACTATGGGAACTCTCTCCTCGCCGGCCTTCCCGACACCTCCCTCCACAAGCTGCAGGTCATCCAGAACTCTGCAGCTCGTGTACTGTCCCGCACCAGGCTTCGGGACCACATCACACCCACCCTCGCTCGCCTCCACTGGCTCCCCATCCCCCAGAGGATTGATTTCAAGATCCTCATCCTCACCTACAAGGCCATTCACGGCCTTGCTCCCTCCTACCTCTCCGACCTCCTATCCCCCTACCTACCTGCCCGTACCCTCTGTTCCTCTGGCTCTGGTCTGCTCCACGTCCCCCGCCCCAACCGCCCTACCATCGGTGGCCGGGCCTTCAGCCTCTCAGCCCCCAGGCTCTGGAACTCTATCCCCCAGTGCCTTCGCCGCCTCCTCCCTTTCCTCCTTCAAGGCCGGTCTCAAAACTTTTCTCTTTGACCGTGCCTTCAGCTCCCCTCTCGACTCTCTTCCCCCTCCTCGCTCCCTCCCTTCCCTCCCCTCACCCTGACCATTTCCCCCCTCCTTGCTCCCTCCCTTCCCTCCCCTCACCTGACCATTTCCCCCCTGCTCGGGTCATGACCCAACTGTGCAGCGCCTTGGGACGTCCTCCTGACGTGAAAGGCGCTTTATAAATGGAATCTTGTTGTTGTTGTTATGACATCGGGAGATGAGTTAATTGAGTAAGGTCCATAATGGAGAAATATACAGGGTGACCAAAAAGCTGTAATAACTATATTACCTAAAAAAAACATTGTTTCTTTTAAGACTTATTAAACATTGTCATGGTATCATGACTTTTTGGTCACCCTGTACATGAACGTGATGACTTTTCTCATTGCTTGCTTTTTGATATTGCAAAAACATTATCTGGAAATAACATACAGGGTGCACAAATAGTTTAGTCAAAATAAAAACAAAGTTGATTCAGCTGTGATTCAGGCCTTGTGGTTTTATTGGCAACAACGGAAGTCTCAACATATTTATAATATGTATACAACATAGACAACAAGCAGTTGACTGTTGTTTACATATTTTTTTGTCGGTTTCAAATGGATTAAACCATTTTAGAATTAATAAAATGCGTGGTCATGTGAAGTAGCCTGAAATCAACAAATTATAGCAAAGCAATTTTTTTTAGATATAAACATGCTTAAAGGCTGAATTTATTTTTTGTTAGAGACTCACTCCTCACTGCATAATTACAGATGTTGGGTGCAGAAGTAATTTCTTTCTATAACGATATTAAAAAAAAAGGTAATAACACTGTTTGCTCAATTTAACCTTTGTAAATCACAGACACCAGAAAAAAACGCACATGGATACAGTGGAAGCCACTTAAGCCGGACACATTGCAGGCAGGGCGGAACCTTGGGCAAGTTTCCTTACTCCACACGCCTGATAATAATCTGTCCAAAAACAATAATAAATTGATCATTTTCAATCTACGGCTGTTTATGGGACATTGCTGTGCGCAATTGGCTGCTGCATTCGCCCACAAATATACAGTCAATTCACTTTACAGTGTGTTCTGTGAAGCGCTTTGGGACGTCCTCCCGATGTGAAAAGCGCTATTTCAAATGCAAGGATTATTATTATTATTGTGGGCGGCTGTTTTGTCCTGCTGAAGCGGCTTCCACTGTATGTAATTTACATCAGTGCCTCGTATTGGTAAATTGAGTGGGTTTAGCTCTCTAAAGCCTTAGATTCTGGCAGTCAGCACCAATGATTTCTAAAAATAGGCAAGTGAAGTGTCCTCCTCCTTCAGGGGAGAAATTGCACTTTTTAGAACTGGTAAACGGAAACTGCTTCTGAGTTCTCAGTAGATAGACCTGGAGAAAAGCAAGAGGTGTTTCAGGATGTCAGGCCAAAAGTACAGCTGCAAATCTGTACTCATTTTCATATATTTTAACCAGTCACGGTGGTGGGGAGAAAAACTGCAGTGTAGCACTATCAGCAGCAGCTGATTGGGATTTTTAAAATATGTCATTTTTACATCTAAACCCAATCTGGACAGTCTTTGAGAATTGTTTTATTGGTGAATGACAGGCGATTAGTATCAATGGTTTTCTCTTTTCTCAGAATTGATAGAAACTCTGACCCAGAATGGCCACCCATCGAGTAACTTCAGCCAATCACATGCCACAGATTCATCGGCATGTCACCAAAGAAAAGGAAACCAAGGAAGCAACTCTGGGGGGTCAGAGGCAGCAGGAGAGGCTGCAAAAACCTACACACAGGACCAGGTTGAGGCTGTGAAGAGGTATGAGAAAGGAGGGGAATGGGGCCTAACCGCAATAAGGGGAACAACAAAGTCACATGTCCTTGCTTTGAGAGGAAGGAGATTTGAGAGAAAACACAGGGTGTCTCAGAGAATGACAATGGGATCTAATATGTGGCTTTTTCTAACTGGATTTCTTAATAAAGGAATCACATCAACTCATGTACGAAACTACTACGTCTCTTTGGTCCTCTTGCTTTGCAGTCGGGGCTGTTATTAGCTGTAGGAAGGCTTCATTATGCAGAATAGAGCCACTTTGGGATTAATTTTACTGCTAATATAAACTGCTCAGACTAAAAGCTAATAATGTAAGTTATTACAGATTCTTATGTAAAATGATTCAACACTAACTGATGATGAACATCTGCTGGTTGAAAACTGAAATGTTGCTATGTTTCCTGTCTGTTCAGAATAAAGAAGTGTAAAGATTACTATGAAATCCTAGGGCTGAGTAAGGATACCTCAGAGGATGACTTGAAGAAAGCTTATAGGAAATTGGCTCTAAAGTTTCATCCTGACAAGAACCAGGCCCCAGGTGCCACAGAGGCATTCAAAGGTAGGCACTGAAGCATGTGAATTTCGGACTGGCAATGGTGCTAGAACAATTCTGTTGTATGTTACTAGACAATGGCTTATATAGCTTACTGGATGGTGGATTCCTCCCTATCTCTGTGACCTGTTAACTCTATATAGACCTGTCAAGCGCCTTTGGCCGTACTCCTGACTTGAAAGACACAATACAAATGTAATTTGTTGTTAAGAGTGCAAAGCGTTTGAATCATCTGTACTGTCACTGGTCCACCTTACAGACTTTCGCAAGAGCAAACAATTTCCTATAGAGCATAGAAAATGGGAAGGATTAATGTTAAAGCTTTGATCAGTATTGCAGTGTTGTAATTGAAGACTGAATTTTTCACCTGCTTTTACAAAGCCACACATAGTGGCTCGGCTCATTAGGACTCCAACACTACACCACTGAGATGTGAGGTTGCGCTTGTGTTTTCTTGCATGGCGAGTTATGGATCTCAACCAGACCCTGAGATGAAAGTGAAGTTTTGGCTCAGTAGAGCCACAAGAAAGAAAGGTGTACCCGGGTTGCTCTTGTTTCACTCGAAGCTTAGGTGGATGTCTTTTGCTTTTTCATTGAGGATTCCCTCCTCTCCCAACTCTCACTGTTGAGCGCTCTGGGATGCTACCTAGCGTGAGGGTGCTACATAAATGCAAGTTATTGTAAATGGCGAGGAGAAATGGCAGAATGGGTTGAGGAAAGTAATTTAAAGCTACTGAGTGACGGATGTAGTTTTGAATACGGTGCAGAAATGCTGCTTCACTTGTCAGTGTGGCTACGTGATTTTTAAAGCGCTAGGTCAGCTGGTAAGATATCTTTCTGTTTGGGAGTTGAGGAGCATTTCTCTACAGTGTCAGAAGTAATTCTGCAGTGCCCCACTTTGTTATATAAGTTACTTCCAAAATAACCCCAAATGGGAATACCTCATTTAAAATCGCTAATTACACGACATGTTTTAAGATTTGTTTTCATTTTCATTGAAATCCCATTTCACAGATGGAAAGGTGACCTACTTGCAATACTCTTCCTGATCTAATCATTAGAAGCTGTTTGAAGAAAGCCCAAATTGAGTTGACCCCATGTTCTTCTTTCTCACTGGAGAAATGTTGGTCTCATTTCAACATCCCCAGAACTGCCTGTTGTACGTATCGCAGGCACAGACCATTGTTGTACCACTTTATGGCACAGGTTTGGAGGAATAATTTAACCTCTGGTACTCTTGTATTGATGGTCCCTGACCAAGACCACTTTTCTCCTCTTCTACCCCTATCTCACACCAAATCCCGGCAAAACTCTTATTCACTCCTTTGTGAAACCTCCATCTAGACTTTTCAAATGCACTCCTTGTCAATACAAGAGTGCCCAGTGTCAATACAGGAGTTCCAAAGGTTTCCCTAGTTCCACCAGCCATAAACTTCAGCTTTTCCAAATCTCAACCATCTGCATTTTCACACTCCCCAAGCTCCACATGCCCATCACCCCAGACCTTGGCAAGCTCCACCATCTCTCAATAGAAGTTCCTCATCTATAAATCACGTCACTCCCTAGCACATCTTTCTGTCTGATCTTGTCCCATCATATGCTGCTCATTTCCTGTCCCTTCTGTGCCACAATCAGTGGCTGAAACATCAGTTACTTTCCCATTAACCTCTGGACCCCCTCGCTCTGCCTCACACCTTCTATCTGTTTTTAAATCCTGCCTTAAAAACCTCCTCCTCTTTGACTGTGCCTATGGCTACCTCTCTTTTCCATCGCCTTCCCTTTTTTCCTTGCTCAGGGTTCCGACCCTGACTTTGTGAAATGCTCTGAGAAGTTCTGCTATGTGAAGGGTGCTGTAAGACTGTAAGTTGTTGATCACTGACTGGAAGGTTTAAGATTCCAGCTGCCAAGCAGGAGGGAGCTCTCCTGTTATCTTTTCACTGCTCGGTGATATGAACTAATGAATAACAAAGCCATTACTTTGATGTACTGCCTCAACTGCCACATTACAACATTATCACAGTTAAAAGATATTTGTCAAAGGAGGATTCTTTTCTTACTTAATTCTCTATTTAAAATTTCAAACTGATGTCAGACAAATTGATGAAATTAATGTTATACACACTCTTGAATATTTATACTGGACACTTAATAAATACATGGATTGGGTTCGGATTGGCCAAATGCTAACCACAGGCTTAAATATCTTGCCCTCAATGCCTTCTTTCAGCTATTGGGAATGCATACGCAGTACTCAGCAATCCAGAGAAACGGAAACAGTATGATCTATATGGCGATGAGAAACAGGTAACATCTAGGCACAGCCACGGTGCCTCTGACTACCACAGAGGTTTTGAGGCAGACATCTCACCTGAGGACCTCTTCAATATGTTCTTTGGAGGCGGGTTCCCATCTGGTAAGTTTTCATTTTGTTTTGAGGAAAGAAATAACTGCAGTAATCATTTCCAGCTTGTAATCCATTAAACAGTGCCGTGTAATTTACATAGAGGTATCTCCAATCTAATGTAGGTTGCAGTCGTACATCATTAAAAGGCCTTTTTTACTAATTCTGCTTTAAATCACCTTTATAAAACCATCAAATTCACCCATTTCAGAGGTAGTTTGCTCTTTCAAGTTAATCGTTTATATCAGAAGTTAGTTTTGTCAGGAATTCATCTTGTTTAAATCATTTTGAAGCAAGTAGCACTATGCTACTTCCTTGATTGTGATGTATGAATAAACAAACTCATTAAAAAACAGAAACGCAAAACGGAATTTGCAGCTATAAATTATAATTGCGTACAGTGCGCATCTCTCAGCAAAAAGTACTTGAAAATATGACTGTAAAGCAGTAGACTTGCTTTCTTCTTTGAAGAAGTTGAATTTATGATGCAGAATGCAAAGTGATTTGTTCTATGTCAAAAGTGTAATTCTCGGTCCTTCCTTGCCTCAACCATGTGTAGCACCAAAATACTGTGCCCACTTTTGGTTCTTGGGTTCCAACCCAGGTACATAAGAACAGTCTCAGAACTCTCTTTCTCTCTCACTTTCTAAGGGAAACAAATGGAATATGTTTGTAAATTTTTAATATAAATGTTAAAAATGTTGTTTGGGTTATCTTAATCTAGTTCTAATGAATGTAAGCCCACAATGAAGAGAACATGAGAATTAGGAGCAGGAGTAGGCCATTTGGCCTCTCTAGCCTGCCCCGCCATTTAATAAGATCATGGCTGATCTATTCTAACTCCACCTACCCACCTTAGCCCCATATCCCTTTATCCACAAGAAATCTATCAATCTCAGTCTTGAATATGTTCAAGGACTGAGCATCTACAGCCCTTTGGGGTAGAGAATTCCATAAATTCACTACCCGTTGAGTGAAGAAGTTTTTCCTCAACTCAGTGCGAACGGGCTTACCCCTAATTTTAAGACTGTGACCCCTGGTTATAGTTTCTCCAACTAGGGGAAAAAGTCTCCTACTATCTATTCTGTCGTGCCCCTTAATAATATTATAGGTTTCTATAAGATCACCTCTCATTCTTCTATATTCTAAATTGCTCAACCTATCCTCATAACTCATCCCCCTCATCCCAGGCACCAACCCAGTGAATCTACGTTGTACCCCCTCCAAGGCGAGTACATCCTTTCTTAAATAAGGAGATGAAAACTGCACACAATACTCTAGGTGCGGTCTCACCAGGGCCCTATACAGTTGCAGCAAGACTTCCCTACTCTTATATTCTAACCCTTTTGTAACAAATGCCAACATACCGTTAGCCTTTCTAATTGCTTGCTGTACCTGCAAACTAACTTTTTGTGACTGGTGTACAAGGACACCCAAGTCCCTCTGAACGCTAACACTATCTAGTTCCTCCCCTTCTAAAAAATAATCTGCTTTACTGTTTTTGCCACCTAGGTGGATGACCTCACACTTCCCTACAATATACTTCATCTGCCACCCATTTGCCCACTCACCTAGCCTATCTATATCTTGTTGCATTTTTTTAATGTCATCCGCGGTGTTTACTCTCCCTCCTAGTTTTGTGTCATCCGCGAATTTAGTTATATTAAGTTCGATGTCTCATCTAGATCGTTGATGTAGATTGTAAATGGTTGAGGCCCAAGCACTGATCATTGTGGCACTCCACTAGTCACATCGCGCCAATCTGAGAAGGACCCGTTTATCCCTATTCTTTGTTTTCTTCCCCTTAGCCATTCTTCAATCCATGCTAATATAGTCCCCTTATTTCCATGGGCCCTAATCTTGCGAATCAACCTTTTATGCAGCACCTTATTGAATGCCTTTTGGAAATCTAACTACACTACATCCACCGATTTCCCCCCTATCTAATCTTGATATGTCCTCAAAAAACTAAAAGATTTGTTAAGCATGACTTCCCTTTTGTAAAGCCATGTTGACTCAGTCTAATCATATTATGATCCTCTAAGTATCCCACTATGACATCCTTAATTAAGGATTCTAGAATTTTCCCTACCACCGATGTCAGACTATAGTCCCCCATCTTTTCTCTCCCACCCTTCTTAAATAGTGATGTGACGTTTGCGATCTTCCAATCAATGGGAACTGTTCCAGAATCCAAAGAATTTTGGAAGATCAGACACAGGGTCTCCACTATCTCATGGGCTACCTCTTTTAAAACCCTAGGATGCAGACTATCAGTTCCAGGGGACTTGTACTTTTTAATGCCAACAATTTTCCTAGCACCAATTCTTTGCTAATGTAAATTTCCCTAAGTTGCTCCCTGTCATTAGCCCCATGGTTCGTCTCTATTTCCGGTAAGCTTCTTGTGTCTTCTAACGTGACCATAATGACCATATGAGCTGACCATAATGAGAAACTTAATTGACACCGAAAAGTCAGTTTTCACAGGGAGGCCATAAGAATAATCAATGGGATTGTTACACTGGGGTTTGTGTTGGTACATCTATGCACTGCATCACGGGAGATTATAGCATATTTTTCAAACTGACCTCAGATTGAAAACTGAAAGAAACACTCGGCAAGTCATAAAACGTTTTTTGAAATTAAAAGCCTTCATTATATTAAGACATTTTTACGTGAAAGAAGTCCAGTATTATTAATCCTTTTCCACTGTCTGCAGGTAACGTTCATGTATATAGTAATGGGCGAATGCGCTATACGTACCAGAGACCTGAGCGTCAGGAGCGTCGTGGTGATGTGAGTATTTCTCTTACCATCAGTATTCTCTTCTACGCTTTCGATGGGGTTGAATCTTTCTCTTGATGTGCAGGTTGACTGCAGAATTATTGAGCTTTGCATGATCAAACAGATATTTTGCTGTGTAAGTGCAAAACAAAAACTTGATTAGCATTTTACTCCTGGATCTTTCTACGTAGCTAACATTGTTTGTTGATGAACTATGCATACCGTTTCAATGTAATTGTGATTTGGAGACTGAAAAACATTCATTGCAATACTGTGCTGTTGGGAATATGCTGTCACAGGTGGGCATATCATTGGAATTGTTACGAGGAATTCTCATCCACAGCAATTCTGCCAGCAATTTCTAGCATTGAACAGATCGTTGCTTTCAGGTTTGAGACTAATTGGCACTGGCTAACTCTTGAATTGTTTTGCCTGTCAGGCTGACATTCTTGGCAAGCTAATGTTAAAGCACATTTCTTGACTGAATGTGACTTCCATCTGAATGAACTAAACGTGGCATATTTGTAAATGCAACCATACTGTTGATTATTACTGATCATCATCTCCATTGTAAGCAAGGTCCAAATGATACAAAACTCTGCCATCTGTGTCCTCACCTGTACTAGGCTCTGCATCTCCATTACCCCAGTCCTTGCCAGGCTCCCCTGGCACCATGTTGCAGAATGGATCGATTTTCAAAATCCTGACTCGCTTTCAGATCACTCCATTACCTGGTAGCTTCTACCTTTCCAATCTGCTCAAACCCCACTCCGCTGCCTGCTAATTTGGGTCTTCTGCACATCCCTCATCCCCTCCGCTCCACGATTGCTGTCCGTGCTTTCAGCCACTACTCCCTGAATCTCTGGAACACTCTGTATCAATCCCTCCATCTTGCCCCATTTTTGCCTGACTTCAAATCACACCTGAAGACTTTACTTTTGAACCATGTCTTCAGTTACCTCCCCTCTTTCCAGCTTGGCATCAAACCACACACTGCTGCTAAACTCTGAGATGGTACCCATGTGAAAAGCACTATATAAATGTTAGTTATTGTTTAATGAATCACAGAGTAAAATGCTGCTGAGTAAACTTTGGAGCAGTAGGAAGTAGTGGGCAAAATTATCATGGTTTCCTTTAATGTAAGACTCTTCAAGAGATGGATTTTGCAGGAAAACTGAATAATTGTAACTGGTGTAAAATGTTGACATTAAGGTTAAGCATTTCAAAGGCCACCATCAGACATGAGCATGGTAACGTGAGTTATTTTTAATTTTTGAGATGCAGAAGTTATTGTTTCAGAAATAGCTCACAGCAAATTTACTATGAGTATTAAGGCTGTGTGTTGGATATACATTCCAGTTAAATGTTAGTTGTGTTTGCAAGTGATGTTTCTACTAGTTAAATATTAGCTGTGTGTGTGTGTGTGTGTCTGATAACGATGCAGCTACACACTATTGTTCTGAGTGTGTATTGATTGTACTGTACGATTGTGTTCTGTTGCAGGGTGGGTTAGCGCTCTTTGTACAGTTAATGCCGATCCTGATCCTGATTATCGTCTCTGTGATCAGCCAGATGATGGTGTCAAATCCTCCCTACAGTCTTAGTCAGAGACCGTAAGTTAACCTCAAGTACATGCAGTTGCTTATCACTGGACATTTCCAAGATCATTAAAAATCTAAATTCTGCCACAACAAAGCCATTTCTACTCAAAAATGTTTTTGTATGAACAAGTTTGCAATAAATCATCAATACATTAGAGAGAGTTAAATAATTTGATCTGGATGGCTGAGGAAGCTTTTGTGGGATGAGTTGTCTTATTGGGAGCTGAAGAGCAGGCGGCTGCCCAGATCTTTATGTAGTCAATGTTACAGGGACCTCAAGTGCATTATAGAGCTTTGCGTTAGTAATGATCTTGTAAGTTTTATTCCCCTTTTGAAATCAGCCAACTTGAAATTTTTTATTCCAGTTGAAAAATATGAAATGGTTGTTCAGCCACTAGAATGTTACTAATGTATTTGTTCATAAAGTACGAGATAACTTCCGTAGTATATACCTTCAGTGCCCCTAGCTCAGATCATGTTTTTGCAATCTCATAATTTTATCTTTGCTAATACCTTGTATCCCTCAATTGATTTCTTTATGAAATTTTGCATTCGCTGGCTCACTGCCATTATCACCTATGTGGATATCCATTCCACATATTTACCACTTAATATAAAGTAATTATATCTAAGCTTTGTTCACCTTCCCTTTACTGAGTTTGAATCTGTGCCCCCTTGTTATAAATGAGATTACCCTTAGATATTCTGTTCTTCGTGACTTTGGTGCTGGTTGCTAACAGCTGTGCCCATATTTTCAAAGCATTTCCCGCATATTTTCCTTATGTTGACATTGAAATTGTACCATTATTAGCTCTGAGCTTGAGCAGGTAGTGTGATGACATATGAACAGGACTGGCAATTTCTTAGAGTTGCTTTGTCGGGACCTGAATCTCAGACCTTTTTGGAAGTATTCTAACCATAAGTTGTTGTTCCCCAGGTCAGTGGGCCATATTTACAGGCGGGCAACAGAAGTGTTAAAGGTGCCCTACTATGTGGCGGATAGCTTTGCAGAAGAATACAGTGGACAGAATCTGAAATTAGTGGAGCGGAATGTGGAGGAGGATTTTATTGCCAACCTGCGGAACAACTGCTGGAAGGAAAAGCAACAGAGTAAGTAACCGGGGTGTGAGAGCTGGCTTGTTGACAGCACATGTAAGGTCAGATCAGTCACTGGGGGCATGGATTTTTTCCATTCAGCAACTGTTAACCCTGTAAGCTAAAGCCATAATAGGTAGGGTGATTCCAGCTAGAAACTTGTCAGATGATACCATTCCAGATAAGTGAAAATTCCATTCATAGGTGGCATGAATAAATAGAACTCTGTTTATATCTGTTTGGTTTATATACTTTTAAGCGCAGTGCTAAGTTTCAAGACACCTGGTTGAGTAACAGAGAATCTAATACACTGGTAATGAACAGTGTTAAGTGCAGTCATTAGTGTAACATTACAGTGAATGCTGTCAGGTACACAATTCCATGCCATTTAACGTGTTTTATATTTTGTGTGTCCACAGAAGAGGGATTGTTGTATCGAGCCCGGTATTTTGGGGATTCGGATTTATACCATAAAGCACAAAAAATGAACACACCGAGCTGTACTAGGCTATCACAGGTTCAGGCTTCCCTGCACGGTTAGAACAGCGTCTACATCATCAATAATCGGAGGCCAAGTAGGTACTGTGCATAATATTCAATTAATTTACTGTAATACATACTGAACTTTGAATTTGCAACTTATTCTTTGATAAAGTTGCAGTGATGGCATAATTGTTGGTCACCTTGGCTGATTCCCCTTGCACAATCAGTATTCTTGATACTGCAGCAAATGTGATCGCTGATCTCATATTTCCTTCAATTCTGGTTGTAAAATGAATCTATCTCAAGTCCTGTGTCTTTACGTGGGAAGACGTATGCAAAGTAATGATGCGAAAAAAGTATTGCTGTGTGTGTGAATCAGATTGTGAACTGCGTGCTCAACTGCTCCAATCTTGGGAGTTCAGATGACTGTTTTAACTTCACCTTTGTAGTTTTTGACATGGTGTGAATCTCTTGATTGTATTAGTTTCTTGTCATTCAGTTCCTTATCAATCCTCCTATTTCTCTGAAAAACTTAATGCGAATGAAGTGGGTGGGATTCATTCAGAAAACAACACATATATTTGAGAAATGAAGAAAAAAAATTGTTTTAAAATGTTTGCATTAGAATAACTTTTTTACAGAAATCTTGCTTGGTCCTTTGAATACATTTGTAATTTCTTTTTCTATTTTTCATGTTCTGTCCATAGAGTATTGGAGCTTGAAGATTTTAACAAACCCTCAAATTCATCTGACTGGATGTAATTCGCCAGCAGCAGTGCTGAGATTATTCACAGCGTAAGAGTACCACACTGGATTTTTGTTTATGAACTGGAGTAAGCAGCCCAAGGTCTCCTGGACAGAACACTGGTGTGGAGACCAAGAAATACTCCACTTTGTGGAAACCTGGGACAGTGGAAAATGTGAAAGACATGACTACGCATGAACCAAGTTTGTACACATGCACTAGTCACTTCTAATGAAGAGAATCGAGAAACCTGAATTAATGATCTGGAGATTATTTATAGTTGTATATACGTTGTACTTTTAACTATGCAGGGGCTGAAATCAGTTGTAAGTTATTTTGCTCTTCTATAGAAATAAACCTGTAATGTGAGTAATACCTACGTCTCCATTCAGTTCCCAATATTATATTGTCACTGATTCAAGATTTAGAAAACAAGGTCACCCCGCGAATGTTATAGAAATCTAATCCTGACTGCTTTGGACTACATTATTTTACCGAAGATGTAAATGCACATGAGAGAATTCTCAAGTATTTACCAGCAAGAGTAAAACTTGAGCAAATTTCATCATCAGAACGTTTGGGGAGAAGGTAAGATGGTTCCCCACCCCCCCCCATGCTATATTTCCAGAGTATTAGTTTGAGGTCAGTTTTATAAGAACTGACCTGAGCACAAGTGAGGTTTAGTACTGCTGTGTCAGAGTGTGATTGCACTTGTAATTCCTCACAAAGTTACCAACATCAATGCACCATTATGAGGCAATGCTTATCTATGGGCAGGAGATAATGAGTGTAAAGAGTTTCTCCCAGCCGGAGATATTCGATGTGGAAACAAAAATGTACTACTTTAATTTCCAGTTAATAGTCCATAGAAACTAAGAATTAAAAAGTTCGCACTGTGTGTGTGTGTATTTAAAAAAAATCAAATGCGAGTGTCTCGGTACTCTTATCTCTGGTGAGAATTACACGCTCCTTCCAGGTGCACTCTGAAAGGTGCGATCCTTCGCCTCATTTTATGTTGAACATACGTACCTGGGCAGAGTGGTCTCACAAAATACACCCAACACTTGGCCTTTAATAAAAATATTTCTTATTTATTCAAACCTATATAATTCAATATATATTTCTGCATTCGGAGCAATTGACGCAAAAATAACTAAACAATTATAATAATACTATGTTAATATAGATTTAACAAGGCATAATATCTTATACTTTATAAGATATCTAACCACTGAGCCTCAACACTTGGGACCATCAGGGGTAAACAAATAGAGTAACCTTACTGCTAATTCACATCTCTTCTAAGTTCCTGAGATTCCTGAGTTTTTATAATGAGTGATGTTAAAAATCAAATGTTAATTAAAACTCCAAAACTCAATAACTGCCCTATAACTCTACTCCCTCTCTTTTATACCTTAAATGTGTCCTTATGACTTTTGTACCCAATCAGTTCTCTATACTTTGACAAACTCAACTCCTAATTGACTAAGAATACCTCCTTCAATCAATCCTTCATACTTTGACAGTTTGAAAACATAAACTCGTTATTTCAATTGTTACTCAACTATAGCTCAAACTAAAAGACTCCGACAGGACCATAAAACCTATTAACTCACAAAATTTAACAAAAAAGCCATAAGCCGAAAGCACGTAACCAACATTTTTACACCTTAAGAGAGAGAAACAGATCGATATCTCAATCTAACAAATTCAACAGACTATCTGGCTGGAAAACCAGTGACCCCTCTCCATGAACCCAAATATTCAGCCTATTAACCCTTCACTACCTCAAACAAGGATAATTTAACTCGGAAAACAGTTTACAAGAAAATTTCTAAATAACTTGACTGTTTGGGGTAAATATGCATTCTGAATTCTGGAATATTTGATAACATTGCTGTGTACCAAAATTATTTAGAAACTAAGAATAGGTTTTCAATGAGTTGCTCACTTATAAATTCTGCAATTAAAAGCATTAATCACAAAATACGCCAATGTAGAACTCAACGTCTACCTGAGTGGCATACGGACCTGTAATAGATTTTTAATTTTGCTTGTTTGCATGTGAGAGTGTTGGGGTATTTTACGAGGGAAAAGGGTGTTTTGCACGTGTGTCTAGTTGAAGTTTCTGCAAAATTTGAGGATAGCAATGGAACTGCAGTATTCATGAAGATAAAAAATGAGGCTTGAAAATAAGTTGCCCATATTGCTCAATATTACAATTGCAGAATTGTAGTGATATCAATCTTATTCAATTGTTCCAACCCAAAAGATTTCTGAAACACACAGGGAATGTTTTTTGAAGCTGCCTAAAATAATGCAGTTTGCATCCATCTCCAATAATGGTTTAATTTTGGAAAGAATGAAGGTCAAGATATCTGGATTTCAAGTGCACCATATAAATGTCATGCTATCAGCAGTCTCCTAATGCTTAAGCTTGTAAATACGGTAGTATTCCACCTGAAACTTAAGACCAATGAATGTCTTAAATCACTATCAAAATTTATTAACCGACTTAATGCATTACATTTTCACAAATAGCTATACATGTATTATAAAATTAACATCCTCCATTAAGATTGAATTAAAATCCAAGTGCATTGTATATACTAAAGATAATACAAATGACCTTAACACATTTTTACACAACAAATGCCAAGTTTCCATTCAATGAGTTTCGCACAATGCTGTCAAACATGGTAAGTGAATCCAATTCAGTTTGTTTTAACTCATCCAGAGGAGGGTGTAAATCCCAGCAGCTGTTCAATTGGTTTATAGCGCCATTCGTCCGCCTCCAGCTCTTCAACCAAACTGGCTAACTTTTCTATCCGTGAGCACTGTTGCTCTAAGAAGGTGGGGGGGAAAAAAATTGTAAGATTGCACAACACAATCATCTGGAATCACTGGATTATTTTGCTAGGGTTTCAAATTGTAATAGTACATGTTCTTGACTTCTATTGCTAATTCCATTAATCAGTGAAGCGATTTTAAACATATTAGAATCTTTCAGTTTTCTAAAGCTTTACCTCGTTTCACCTGTTTCCGCGTGTGTGCCACCTGATAGCTAAATACCGCCTCACACAAGAACCGTTCTGTTGCATCTGTCAAAACAGAAATCATAATACAGGGTGACCAAAAAGTCATGATACCATTACAATGTCTAATAAGTCTTAAAGAAATTATGATATTTGTTTTTTTTAGATAATAGGGTAGATAATCATGACTTTTTGGTCACCCTGTGATAAATAAGCTTGTCACTTTGGAGCAAAAACTCAAAATCAGGAATAAAAAGGTATGTAAAATAATTTTTGCATTTGATACAACGCCTTATCATATCTTCAAGACATCTCAAAGCGCTTTACAGAATATACTGTAAAGTGAATTCACTATATTTTGTGGGCCAAACGCGGCAGCCAATTGTGCACAGCAGTGTCCCGCAAATGTGTCCCATGAAATGTTTACAGGTACGATTTTGAAATGTTGGAAGCTTTGGGAAAGCAAAAAAGTCACTCTGTCTGGCTGGGATGAAGACTATTGGGCCTGCTGAATTAAACAGCTACTCCAGCACACATCCTCGGGTTGGTTGGTGGGGGGGAAGGTTTAGGGTGACCATATTTCCCTGATCTCCGGGGACAAAATGAGGCATTGTTTCCTGGGGGCAAATTTGCCCCATCTTGAGTCCAGCAACAAACTGAGCAGGAACAGTAAAACTCATAAATAAATACATTCATCAGAAATACAGCCTTTAATCCAGTAATTGCCAGCATCAGGAATTGTGATGAGTTCCTTAAGCGCTCTGAGACGTCGTCCGACGTGGAGGGCGCTGTATAAATCCAAGTTGTTGTTGAGTTCCAATTTTTATATACTAGGTGTTCCCTGGATTTGGCTAACGAGATATGGTCGGCTATGACCAGGAGCACCTGAAGCAGGACCCAGGGACTCCTGGCGTTTGCTGTAAGGTTAAATGATAATAACAATCCTTGCATTTGATACAGCGCCTGATCGCGCCTCCGAGACGTCTCAAAAGCGCTTCACGGAACATAAGCGTAAAGTGAATCGACGGCGTATTGCGCGGGCGAGACCCGGCCCAGCGGTGCGTCCCTCCCGCGATGAAGGTGGTTACGCAGGGCGGACCGAACAGGGGTCGCGAAACCGTTATGCGGTGCCCTAATAAGGTCTCTTAAGAAAGAAAATGATGATGTTTGGGGTTGTGTTTATGGATAACGGGGGAGTTATCCACGACTTTTGTTTTTGTGTGTGTGTGTGTGTGTGTGTGTGTGTGTGGGGGGGGGGGGGGTTCACCCTGGATTTACAACGTGGTTCCCCAGGAGCGGAGCAGGAGCTGTTGGTGGCTGTGGGGCCGCCCTGGGCCTGTAGTGTAGTGTAGTGCAGTGTAGTGTGTGTGTGTTTGACGCGGCTCCTGACAAGGCCTCACACAGTAACCTCCCGCCTCACCGCCCGCTCACCTTCCAGCAGCTCCCCGGCTCCTTTGGGGGAAGTGAAGAGCGCTTTCCGCGGCGGCGTCAGCTCCGACACCCCGAACCCCCCACCGCCCGCCACCGGAGAAGAGGAGGAAGAGGCTGAGGCGGCGGCCATCGAGCAGAAGGTTCCGGCGGGTGGTGGGGTGGGGAGGGGGGGGGGGGTTTGTTGTTGGGGGGGAGGATCGCGGGTCGGACTGGTTTGTCCGCGGACCGGAAACGCCGGGTTTAACTGGCGGACCGGAAGTCGGCTCTCGCCGGTGGTTTGCGAACGCCGCGGGTTTTTCGATTCACTTTTAAAGGTTATTTTCTTTGTCTTCGTTTCCAAAGTCCCGTCAATACCACAGCGGTTAGAAACCACACTGCGGGGGCCTGGAGCTCAGTGGTGAGAGGTTGTCGCCTCGCCAGCCAGAGCCCTGGGCCTGATGCCCGGCAGCGAGAAACGTTGGTCAGGTTTATAATAATATATAATAATCATTGCATTTGGTATAGTTCTTCGGTTATCACGTCCTCAAGACGTCTCAAAGCCCTTCGCAGGATATACTGCCAAGTGCAGTGGCTGTGTATTTAGTGGGTGAAGTTTGCGTACAGCAATGCCCTACAAAGAGCCATGGAGCCAGTGACCTAATTTTTTATTTGGGGGATTGTTGGGCAGGACCCAGGATAGTCCCGTGTGATCCTTAACTTCCACTTAAACAGTTTAGTTTAGGACCTCAGTGTAACATTTCATCCAAAGCTCAGTGCCTCTGACAATGCAACGCACTGCATCGGAGTGTCAGCTTAGACTGATTCCGAGCTCCGATGTGGGGCTTGAAACCACTACATTTTTGATAGTTCTATACCCGTAGCTTTGCTTTGCATTTCTTGTGACGGACACTTTGTTCCTCTGGTCATAGAATTTGCGCTGTTGTTGAAGAACGTGCAGAGTCTGTCGGTGCAAGAACGAAATGCAATGGATGTTCTTCGACCAATGCTGATTAATATTGAAGGTCGAATTTACCGAAAAAACCTGGTCAAAGAGCAAGTACATCAGAATGAGGAAGAGGAAGACTTCAATTACTCTGGTACTTACAGGCGCATACTACCAACCCCACCTGGTCTAAAGGCCAATTTTTCTATACCTGTAAAAATATGGTTCTCAGGTTCTTACTACAATGTTCTAATGTGTTCTAAATTGAAATGAGTGAACCACTTTTTTAAAACAACCACGAGTAATATATCCCACATTTACACTTACTGGATCCAATAAACTTCTACAGTATTTTTAGTCTTTTTGTTTTAAATTTTTTAAACATCCAGATGTATCGTAGTTACAGTTTTAGACAGCACCATCAATCCAATAGTCCTCCACACACGCGCACACACACTAATTTCCCAGAAGACTCTTTGGATATATCTAATTATAGTAATTCTAGTGGTTGTCATGGATAATCACTGACGTTCAGGGTTCCTGCTATTAACCTATCTTCTTTCTTTCAGGTGCTGTAGATTGTTTGGATGAGCCATGTGACTCTCTAACTATTGATCACACAGAGCGAGGATATCGATGTGCTATGGCAGTACCCAGTGCTCTTTATAAGTGAGTTGTCATACATATTAGGGATTTTGCTACTGATTAGTAAATTGTATTGTTTCGTAACTAGAGTTGCTAATAGCAACTCTGAGATGTGATTGGTGACTTCTGCCAGTAATTGGAAATGCATCACACAGAATTCTGAGAACTTCATTCGATCCATTCTAATTTCACTTTGAGTGTGGTTATGTTCATATATGTAACATGTTTGCAATCACCAAATCTAGTTTTTAACAGCAATTGGCCAGCTTCATAGGGCAATAGTTGAATGTTTTCCCTGCTTAAATGAGCTCATAGCTGATTCATTTTAAAATTAATATCTGTTCACAATGGAGGATGCAGACTTTACGAAGGTAAAAGGTGAATTGTCGATCAGTAGAATCAAAGTGATTGAAAAATCTCTTTTAACAGTTTTATTCTTTTCCGGACTTAACATTGATGTCACCTTAATGTGGAGTATATGACAAAACAAAAGTATTTATTTTACAGATATGTTATTGGAAAGAAAGGAGAAACAAAAAGGAGACTCGAGACTGAAACTCGGACTTCCATAACCATACCTAAACCTGGAGTGGAAGGAGAGATAGGTGAGGCTGGGCAGATGCTAAAGGAACAGTTTATTAGTGCAGAATTTTCTTGTTAGGTTATGAAAAATATTTTTTTTAATCTGAGTTATAAATGCATGGTCGCAATCCAAGACCAACTCTTCCCCGATTACTCAAAGAGATATGGGTTCTAACATAATTAACAACTGGTATAGGTTATCAGGAAGGGTGGTTGAGGCCATGGTGTTAGACCCTGGTAGGAGAATCTATAACTATCTATAACTTCCAGGCAGAGGGCGAAACCTTGGGCAAGTTTCCTTACTCCACACGCCTAATAATAATCCCTCCAAAACCAAAAACAATAATTAAATTGGTCATTTTCAATCTACGACTGTTTGTGGGACATTGCTGTGCGCAATTGGCTGCCGCGTTCGCCCACAAATAGACAGTCAATTCACTTTACAGTGTGTTCTGTGAAGCGCTTTGGGACGTCCTCCTGACGTGAAAAGCGCTATATCAAATGCAAGGATTATTATTATTATTAACTAGGAGTCACAGTCTTAAGATTAAGGGTCAGCCTTTTTGAACAGAGTTGAGGAAACACTTCTTCACTCAGAGGGTAGTGAATTTATGGAATTCTCTACCCCAGAAGGCTGTAGATTCTCAGTCCTCAAATATATTCAAGACAGAGATTGATAGATTTCTAAAGGATAGAGGGATTAAGGATATGGGGATAAGGTGGGCAGATGGAGTTAGGTTAGAAGATCAGCCATGATCTTATTGAATGGCGAGGGCAGGCTCGAGGGGCCGAATGGCCTACTCCTGCTCCTAATTCCTGTGTTCCTATGTTTACAAAGCACCTGGATGTTAGGATTGAAGTTAGGCATGCAGAGGACTTGAACGCAGGAGTTACTAATAGTAACTTTAAAGCCACATTGGGCATGAACATAAAAAAATTCAGCAGTTACGTTGTGTAGTCTAGTTTGACATTTTGTAAAATAATACAAGGACAGCTCTAGTATAGCAGATCCTGAAGTGCTGCAAACTGTGTCTGAATGCAAAGGGGAGAAAAAAATCCTTACAACACCATTAAGCACAAAAAATGATCTTTCTTTTCCCTTCCCCCCCCAAATATTAACATTTGTGTTTTTTCAGTCATTACTGGACAGCAACAGTCTGGTGTGATTTCAGCCCGAACTCGAATTGAGGTGATGTTGGACAGTTTCCGCAGGAAGCAGCCCTTTACTCATTTCCTATCTTTTGCTATTAACCATCCAAAGATTCAAGAACGGTTCCTGAAGTTTAAGGAGGAGGTTTTGGATCTCTGCTCTCAGGTATGTGAACAAGTTGATAAAGCTGGGGATAGGAATGGATGGGTTTGATGGTACCTACTCTCATATATGTGAAGACATTTTCTGACTTCTGGGGTACAATTTCACAATCCAGCAGAGAAATTGTAATTCTTTGTTCCTGGTCTATGCTAGGATCGTGGGATTGACAGCAGCATTTTCCAGAATCCAGCCAAACTGCATCTGACAATTGGAACTCTGGTCCTCCTTAATGATGTGGAAGTTGGGAAAGCTTGTGAGCTGCTGCAGAAGTGTAAGGAGGATTTCATCAAGTGAGTCGGCCTAGTCACAGCTGGTATTCTGCTTTAACACCAGTGGTCTCCAAAATAATAACTGCTCAGCTTGATTCTTTCCAGTTGAGATATTGCTGCATTGGTTTTTCAAGAGCACATTAATAGGGTAGGAGTGCTTTGAGAGCAAACTACTTGTTTCCCCTCTTCCAAAAGCAATTTGTAAGGTGGTAAGAAAATGTTTACAATTCCACTCAGTTTGTGTAGGGATTGTCCTCTATCTGAATGGCTGTTACTCCAGGTACTCCTGAATGGCAGTCATGGAAAGCAACTTCAAAAGCTTGAGTACTTACTGTACAACAACAACAACAAGATTACATTTGTATAGCGCCTTTCACGTCGGGAGGACGTCCCAAAGCGCTGGACAGAGTACAGCATTTCAGACCCGAGCTGAGGCCGAGGGGAGGGGAAGGGGGGTGGCCGATGACATGGTTAAAGAGGAGGGTCTTGAGGCGGGACTTGTAGGAGGCTAAGGAGGGGGCGAGGCGGAGTGACTGGGGGATGGAATTCCAGAGGTTGGGGCGGGAGTGGCTGAAGGCTCTCCCACCAATGGTGGAGCGGGTGGGTCAGGGGATGTGGAGCACGCCAGAGCCGGCTGAGCGGAGAGAACAAGTGAGTGGGTAGGGAGTTAGGAGGTCGCAGAGGCCATGGTGGGGCGAGGCCATGGAGGGCTTTGTATGTGAGGACCAGGATCTTGAACTGGATCCTCTGAAGGATAGGGAGCCAATGGAGTCGGGTGAGAATGGGGGAGATGGGGTCACGGAGTTTGGTGCGGGAGAGGACATGGGCTGCAGAATACTGGATTATCTGCAGCCTGTGGAGGGAGGAGTTGGGAAGACCGACAAGCAGGGCATTTGCATAGTTGAGCCTGGAGGTGATGAAGGGATGAACAACAACAACAACAAGATTCCATTTATTGAGCGCCTTTCACGTTGGGAGGACGTCCCAAGGCGCTGTACAGTTGGGTCAGGACCCGAGCAGGGGGGAAATGGTCAGGGTGAGGGAAGGGAGGGAGCGAGGAGGGGGTAGAGAGTCGAGATGGGAGCTGAAGGCACGGTCAAAGAGAAAGGTCTTGAGACCGGCCTTGAAGGAGGAAAGGGAGGAAGCGAGGCGGAGGAACAAGAGTTTCAGCGGCCTGATGGGTGAGGTAGTGGCGGAGTCGGGCAATGTTACGGAGATGAGGGAGGCCAATCAGGAGGGCCTCAGTCTTGTTCACATTCAACTGTAGGAAATTTGCTCTCATCCAGGACTTGATGTCTGACAGGCAGTCTGTGAGGAGAGCAGTGGTCCTGGAGTTGAGGGGGGAGGCAGAAAGATAGAGTTGGGTGTCATCCGCATACATATGGAAGTTGACCCCGTGTCTGCGGATGATGTCACCAAGGGGGAGCATGTAGATATTAAAGAGGAGAGGGCCAAGGACAGAGCCCTGGGGGACGCCAGACGTGACGGTGCGGGGGCTGGAGGAGAAACCGTTAGAGGCAACAAAGTGGAAACAGAGAGATAGGAATTGAACCAGGCAAGGGCAGGTCCGTGAAGATTGAGTAAAGCGGAGAGGAGGATGTTTGGAGGATGGAGTGGTCGACAGTGTCGAAGGCGGCAGAGAGGTCAAGGAGGACAAGGAGGCAGAGGGAGCCCTCATCACAGATGTTCAGAATGTCATTGTGACTTTGACCAGGGTTGTTTCCGTGCTGTGGGCTGTGGGATACTGTAACATCTATGTTGTGCCAGAAAGATGAAAGTGGAGATTTATCTTGAAAGGGAAGTGAACACCTCCCTCATTAACAATATGGAAGGAATGCTTTATACAGAGAGTCATTTCCATCTCTTTCTACAAACAAAGGAACATTCCTTTAATATAATGCAGTTTGCTGAATTGGTAGTAAGTGTCTTTGAGAAGGGGAGAAGCAGTAAAATAGTTGGTACAAAGTGTACATTTCCTTTTTATCTCTAGCTTCTGATTTACACTAAAATCCGTCTTGCTCTTCTTCCCACCTTTGAAATATGTAAAAAGACATGAAATGCCTAAAGCAATAAATATGCTAATACAGTACATAGCTATAAGTCTTCTAAAAATGTTTCATCTCTTCCAACTCTCCATGAAAATAGCTCCGGCCTTGCAGCTGTAGCCCCAATGACTTACAATTTGTTACAGTTCTTCACAATGTCTTTCCACAGGAGATGCAATCCCCAAACGGCTTCTGCAGTCAAAATTGTAAACCTATGGCCCTCCAATCCTATGCCTATCACAGTGATTTGGTTTTCAAGCGATTTATATTTTGCTGCAGTACCCATTTACGACCACAAGATGCCATAGAAACATTTGGATATGTTCTTCATTATGGCTTTTAGTAACAAGAACGAGCCTTCAAAATCTTTTCTCAATCTCAATGGCTGAATCTACAACATTCCCCTATACTCAAGTCATTTAATTTGTACAACCTGTTTTAATTTCATCAGTCTCTTCCAGATTATGGGTGTTGTGGCAAGCTGACTCTAATTAAACACTTGTGCTGTAACTGGGATGTTTAAAGTGATTCTGAAACACACATTCTTCCTTTAAGGAAGATTCGTATTGATCAAGTTTCTTCTGTTTTGTTTATACAATGACTTTAGCAAACCCTGCTTGCCTTGCTTCAGCATCATTCTAAAGAGTTATTTGTTTGAGGACTTTTTCTGATGTGATCTTTAATAACAGCTAATCAATAGGAGGAAAATGAGAAATAACCCTGGATGTTTTTTTTTAAAATCTCTCCATCTTACAGTTACTGCAATCCAGCACTCTGCATGGCAGCATCTTGTGCAACCAACCTGCTAACTCCCTGATATCAGCAGTGTATATACCAGGGCTGACTGACATAAATTGAAAAAAAATCCAAGTTTTTTTTTAAAAAAAACATGCTTGTGCGAGGGAACATTTGTAGATAGAATAGACTGAACTGTCAGCTGTTTGCACCCATGAGACACTTTGCAGCAATGCCTTCAAAAATCCCGAACCACATTTCTCTTCATCCTTTACTAACAGAGTTATTAAACAACTCTGCTTATAAAGCTAACAGGAAACAGTCACTAACAGAAAAATACAATGGTTATGTAACTTAAAAATTTTACCTCCAATGGGCTCTGTTAATTACAGAAACTATTATAGCGGGACTTGAAATGTGGGAAGGCTTTTGTGGAGTATAAGCACTAACGTGAATTAGTTGGACCAGCTGTCCTGTTTCATTGCTGTACAGTCTTGGTAATTCTACGTAATTTTAGGTTCTACCCCTAACCCTTTTTCACCAGGATTTTAATTTGGCAAAAATAAACTGTTCAAGGTGAGCACGAGTGGAGCTGTCAAACTGAAATTGTTTTTGTTTTTGTCAGGAATTGAGCTTCTACATTTCACTCTTAATGAGATGTGAGAGAAGGAAAAGCTGATTTTAGAAATTCATGTCTTGTATCTCAGATGGGTTCAGTAGTCCAAAATCACATGCCTCTCATGTTTAATGCCTTGCAGCTTGATGCATGCTTGTTATGAATTTGAATACTGTAGTGGCTTTTACAGGTTTTTACAGTAAGTGGCATAAACTGTTTTTTTGTCAGGAACTAAGAAAAGCAATTTAAAGTCTGATTTATTAGAACCTTTCAAATAGATCCAACAATGAATCTTTTCAATCACTACTCCACAAGCTGCTTCAGTAATGATTGGCAGCCATGGCACACTAACAAAACATTTCATCTCCCAAGTTTTTTTTTTACTCTTTAACACAGTCTAATTTGAATTGATTTGGTTAAATTTATGCCATTGCCTTCCATAGCTTAATTTGGTATTATTTTTAATTTGAATTAAAAATCAAATCAGGATTTCAAGGAGCTGAATCTTGGTCTGGTGCTTTGTCAGATAGTAATGCAGTGCTGGAATTTATATTCTGTGTAATTGAAATTCTGAATATGAACAATGACTCTTATCCCAAGGTACAGAATGGGGAGGAGGAACAAAAAGACAGTTCTACAGCTAGTTGTGTATTTGGCAAAGGAAAGGGGAGGCCTAGGTTCTGCAGTCTGGTGTGATCTATGATAGTACAGTGGAAACTCACCTTAAGGGTACCCTACTAATGTACTCAAACTGCTAATGTGATCAGTTTACTGCAATCTTTTTCATTTCAATATATACTACAGAAATAACCAAACTGTAGTGGGTCGACCAACGAATGTGGTCAGAATTATTTGTTCCATTTGCTGGGCCTTATTAGTGAGTTTCCAAAATAAAGGTTTTGCATGATCTGTTGAGTGACTGCTGTGGTCCAAATGATCTTTTCATTTCATTACTATTCAAAAAGAGAGAAACATTTTGACAGTACAAGCACTTTATCAAATGAAGGATTATTAATATTTGACACAAATGCACCACACAAGAGGAGAAAAGTAAGGAATGGATCCCAACCGCAGGCTTGCTATGTGACTGGGAAGCGGATTGAATCCCACGCCAGCCCTGCTTAGTTAAATTGGTAGAGATGGGATGGGGATAGCTGGTAGGGATGTATGAAAGGTCATATACAAGATCTTGTTGATAGAGAGAGAAGAGAATTGTGTCTTACAATGAATATTTCCAAGATTCAAAATATTTTAGGTGTAAGGAAAAGGAGGTATATGCCACGAGCCTCCTCTTGTATGTTTGTGTCAGTTGCTATTCTTTCTCTTTATGAGCAAATGCTAAGTAAAGCAAAAAATCTTGAAGTCACTGAAGGATATAAATGTGTGGAAATGCCTTCTGCTCAACCGTTTTAAATTTCTTTCTGCATATCATTCTTTGCAATCCATTCCATCTTTTTGACACTGACCAGCTTTTATCTATTATACATGTGTTAAAGATTAAATATGTTCAAGCACTGTGTTTTCACAGAAAATATCTGTTTTGTGTGACTTCCTTTCTAATGCACTTTTACGACAGAGAGAGAAAAAATCAGTATTGGTTTGGTTTTGACTAGATTATGAAGTGTTAACTGTCCTTAAAAATGGTCACCAGCAGATCGTTAGCTGCATACTCTAAACAAACAGATGTGCTAAATCATCATTTTGTAATGTGACCACAATTAAAAAAACTTTCCGCTGAGTGACAATGACATATTATGTCAAAATATCTCAAAGCATTTCATACAGTGTTACATGAAATTTAGTGACTGATCACAAGAGAGAAGAGTATGTGCATTGTATTCACATGCCTCTAAGGAAAGTGTGGTTTACAAGCTAAGCTTTGCTTGTATGATTTATGTTGTCTTCTGAATCGCCTAATTTTAGCCTAGAAACCCATTTTGCCTTATCAGATTCAATCTTAATTTAGGAAGCCATTTTTAAGAATTGGGTAAAGCTAACTTTCAAATTAATGACGAGATGTAAGAATTTTCCACAATTCTGGAAATCTTAAATTTAAAGACAAATTGTCATATCGGCTAAAACTAGGTGGAATTTTGGATGTCTGAACCTTTTGACAAGTCAAAATGTATCCGGTAGCAACAGAAGTATTATTCTGCAAAACAAAATGGTAACCATCTTACTGAACAATTGCTGTTCATAAGACCACTGCCCTCTTGATGTGAAAGCAGCTATACAAATGTAATTTGTTGTTGTTGATGACTGTTCAACTGCTTGTCTGTTTCAGTGATGTTATATGCAAAAAGCCACTTCTCATTAATGTAGGAGGGATTGAATATATGAATGATGACCCAGGAATGGTGGATGTTCTTTATGGAAAAATTCAAACAAAAGATGGGACGAATAAGTAGGTAGTCCATATCCATATCCTGATTGTTTTGTAATTTTTAAAAAATATTATTTTAAAAATGAAGATTCTCTCAATGAAATTGTTACTTTCAGGATCACTTACCTTTGTTCTGTTACATTCCCCCACCCACTCCTTCTACTTTTATAGTAAATCGTTGGTCCTTTTCCTATTTACAGCCATAAGTGAACACAAACCAAATACATTGTGAAAATGTATCACATTTACCCAATAGTAAAGCATACACTTGGTTTAAAAACAACAATAAGTTGTATTTATATAGCACCCTTCAAGAGGGGTTGCGTCCCGGAGCACTGAAAAGTGTAGTTCAAACATGCTTTTTGTGTAAAATATTACCTGGGAAGGTCTTGCTCTAAAATTTGGTGATCGGAGACACTTTTCTGCAGGAATGAGCCAGAACTATCACTTTCACCACAGTCTTACAACTTTCTAGTGTATCAAAACATTGTATCTACTGGTCTGGCAGGGAACCATCAAGGAAGGCTACAGCTATTAAAGGCTTGATGGCAGTTAGGATGGAAGTGAAGGCCTTCCTAACAGCTGTGTGTTATTCTGTTGCTGCAGTGGAACAACAGATCTGATTTCAGAAATGGATGACAAGTGTATTACAATGAGCACTTTAATGAACATCGTTGAAGGCATTCTGTTTTTAGTTGCTCATTTACATATAAATGAAAGTGATCCTCCTCTACCCAGGGACAGTGTAGGGACTCCACTTGACAGCACTGTGCTGTACGACATGCCTCTCTGCCCTTCATGTCTCTAATTTACACTTAAGAGTTCCTTTTTGTGTGCTATTTAATCCATTAAGAAGATCAGGTTACTAAAATGAGCTGTAGATAATTCTTAATGTAACTGGTTGACTTTCTGTGGGACAAGGTAAAGCCCATGTCTGCATGAAGCGACTACTTGTGGAGCTGACCAGCCACTTCAGTTATCTCATTTTTAAAATGGTGAGATTAAAATTATTACAGAGTGTAATTTTTTCAGTCCATACAAAAATTATCCAGCACAGACTAATTAATAGGTCTTCTTCATCACTGACAACTGCCTCCCTGTGGGAATGTTTATTGGCTGTTTGAGAAATGTTCCTGATGATAGATGCCTGGGCATTGCCTTTGCTTCTAGTTATTGAAAGGTGTTTTTTCCCCTAATTATATTAAAATAATTGCTCTCTTGTGTTATCTGTAAACCTTCTAGGTCCTGGTTAAAAAAAATGTATGTTCTCACCTTAACACTGAATAAAGTTTAGGAACCAAAATTATCTAAACAAGATGAATTGCTTGTGTATTTGTACATAGGACATTAATCTTGTCACAAAGATCCTTCTGTTCCATTGAATCGTTGTACAACTAGGGATCATATTAATTGCAACCAAACTTTAATGTTTAATAGCAAATATTTTCTCAGTTTATGGGTGAAGATCCTTTAATTAGAGGAATTTAAATGCCCATTTAGTTTGGAAGACAGCAGGCCACAAATCATATTTTTTTTAAAAAATGGTAACAAGTACAGGGATCTTAAAATGGGTGTTAAAAAATAATAAAGCTTATTTTCCTCTGTTTTGGTCCTTCACTATCTGGACTAAGGGGAAAGACAGATGATTCTCTCCCAATCCATTTAATGCTAAGAGATATACAAGAAGCAATTCTGTTGTAGGGAAAAGCTTTGGTATGTGTTTAGTGTACAGTTCAGTGAGTTCAATTCCAGGCAGGGCGAAACCTTGGGCAAGTTTCCTTACTCTACACGCCTAATAATAATCCCTCCAAAAACCAAAAACAATAATTAAATTGGTCATTTTCAATCTACGACTGTTTGTGGGACATTGCTGTGCGCAATTGGCTGCCGCGTTCGCCCACAAATATACAGTCAATTCACTTTACAGTGTGTTCTGTGAAGCGCTTTGGGACGTCCTCCCGACATGAAAAGTGCTATATCAAATGCAAGGATTATTATTATTATTATTAGTTGGAGAATTATGGGGTAAAATATATTCCACGGCTCTGACATGTTGCATTGGAGCATTACCTATTAACTATGCCTCCAATGGATACTTACAAAGAATGTGCCTGTGGCCTAGCTGTTCTTTATCCCTTCCTGAGTTAGGACAGGATTGGGCATGGCTGTGGTGTTGCCACAGTTAAATTATTGCCAACACTCACTTGTTATGACTCGAATGATGAATGGCCCTTTGTTCCAGGTACCAGAGGGCACTTGGTGCCAATATTTCAGCATGAGGCATGCCTTCAGGAGAAGAGGGGGGAATGAAAAAGCCCAATACTTATTTTAAAAATAAAGTTTGATCTAAACAAGATAATAGATGCTTTAGTTCAGTCATTCACTTTTCCTAACTTGGTAACCTGCCACTTTTTATCCACACTCAGCCAAGACTTGTTGAATTAGCCTATACAGACATCCTGCTGTAGTTCTACTTCCGTTTTGTAAATTGCACATTGAACTGGATTAGGTACTTCAGAGCTTAAACCTGCAGCTATCTGGTCCTGTAAGATCTGTTGCTGCTGTCCGAAAATGAACACAATAGTCCAATTATTGTTCTGTTTGCAGGTTACAGCTAATTGCCGATGGATTGGTGGAGCGCTTCATTGCATCAGGACTCATGGGAAAGGAGTGGGACCGGGTGAAACTCCACGCGACTCTGATGAACACTATCTTCAGAAAGGACCCAACTGGTATGTAAGTAGTGGTTGCCCATTGTCTCTCAGTCCCATTATGAACCTGGGTTGTGCCAGATACAGAAACCGGTATGACCCGATTATTTATTGCAAAGTTTGCAGATTGCAGCTAATTACTGGCCTGCTCACACAAGTACCTTTGTACCAGCATAACTAAAGTGTACTATTATTGACAGTAACACTAACCTTTTCGTGCTGGAGATATTGATATAAAGATGGTTTATTTAGATTACAACGTGGATGATCAATTCTTATAGAGATTGATCAAATCTCATCTTCGATTTTCTCTACTATCTGAACATCCATGTTTTTCTAGATTTCTCTCAGTCATAGAAACACGAGTAGGCCAATCAGCCCATCAAGTCTGTTCTGCCATTCTATAATAGCATGGCTGATCTGGACTTCGACTCCCAATTACTTGTCCTTGCCCCGTATCCCTTGATATGCTGACCTAACACATATCTATTCACCTCAGTCGTGAAAATGTGAATCGATTCAGCATTCACAGCTATTTGATAGAGAGAGTTCCAGATTTCCACTACTCTTTGGGTGAAGGTATGTTTAAGTCCTGGTTTCAGAAGAAATTTTTAAAGCTGTGATTATGTTTTTTTCATTTCAGTTGAAGACAGAAACGCAACTTCAGGAAAATACAATCCGCGTGAAAGGGAGTCATTTGATGCAAGAAATGTGCTAAAGGTTGGTCACCTGTGACTAAGCTTAGATTAGCTGCAAATTAAAATATAGTTGTATGAACTGCTCGGGTTGGAGATTTTCCCTTGTTTTAGGTTCATACTTCCAAAGAAGAAAGAACATACAAAAAGAAACATAATCATCAGACTTCAAAGAGAAATGGTAAGTTAATTGTCCTTTGATTATTCATTATGACAATGAAATTACCTGTAACCCTCAAATTGAGTTGTAATGAAATGTATGCTCTGAAAAATATCTGAAACTTTCTGCTTTTTAGACTTTAAAATTTAAAATCTTAATGCATTTTTCTTTTATTTTTAAACAAAATGTTTGCTAACCTGGCTTTGCATCAATCATAAAGTTGACCATAAAGATTTGCCCTTACCATAGTTACATAATGAGCAGTTCTGTGTACTATTATGGAATGCTGTTTGTGAGTCCTGCTGGTTTATGAAACCTGCAAATTACACTGAGAATTGGGCTGAAGGCAGCTGCAAGTCAAGGTAATGAGGTCAGAAACATGACAAGCCTCCTAGCTAGTAGTCTTTTTATCAATCCCCACTGTGTTCACTATCTCTGAGATTGAAGGGGAAGCTGCCATGTTGTTTTCTCATTATTTCATACATGAGGCTATCTATATTTAGCATAGATACCCAGATGTGTCTTTAAGGGTTGTAATTGAATTTTAAGGTTCAGATAACGTTTGCGCAGCAAGCAAGGTTGGTCTTTGATACCACGTAAAACTCTTGATTGGATTGCGGCCTTTAATTCACTGCTGGATATTACACAGATCTATTTTTTGTGATGTGTGCCTGGGAAAAAAAGCTAGCTGTTACACAGCAGGCATGCTGAGACTTCAATAGCAAGGTTGATGCATTTTGACCCAAGACCTAAGCTATTGCTGCTGATTGTGAAGGCAGGATCTGAAACAACACAATTACGGGAGCTATAGCAATATAAGGCTTTTTTATTAATAGAGCGAGGGATAGAAGGATGGTTGCAGCAATTAATTCAAACTTAATGGCGGTTTCCTTTGGCTTAACATGGGATGTAAAGTTGATATTTCACAACATCTTGGCTATGTGCTGGCCAGCAGTCAGAAATGACAAATATTTGCACTTATATGGCTGACTACAACTCTGCCGCAACTTCTCACGTGAGGTATCTGCTTAGTCTTACAGATGGAAATATTGATCGTATCTTACTGCTGTCAAGTGCTTGAGCTGTTTTGTATCGTCCCCCAAAAAGTGGAGTTTGCTTTCTGCTATTCTCGTGAGCATATATGTAAAGTAAAGGCACTTGTTAAAGCATTCCTGTTTGCACACTTTTGTCCTTAAGTAACATTACCTATTGGTAGTTTTGTTGATTACAGAATGAATTACGTAGCTATAGTCTTTCTTGCCTAGCCCGTTTCACACAACAATGCTTAAGATTACATGTTTATTCATGGGTGAAATAACTTCTTAGTAGAAATGTCGCTTCTGTTTTTTTGAAAATCTAGACGCACTTTGTGGCTGCAAAATTTTTACATTAGGAATTTAAAATGTATTCTTCAAAATATTCAACCCCTAATATTTTAAGCACTACATTTTACTGATGATTTTTATAGAAACGTGAATTGAATTTAGGTGCTAGCAAATAGCAAGTTTAATTGCCCAGAAATATTAAGGTATTAAGCTTCTTTTGATTCTGAGAATTTATTTAATATTTCTTCTGACCTTTTCCATTGTAACTCAGAGCTTTATAACACTATTTGTGTTATATCATGATAGGAGATTTTTGTTTTTTTCACTGTTCAGGCTATGGCATCCTAGCTTTTTACTTATTCTATTTTCTGATGTATGTAATTAGAAAAAGCAGTGGGTTCCATTCAGTATTTGTGATTCACTAACAGCAACTCAGAGCTGTTAGCAGGAAATCCTGCTGGTAACCAATGCTACATCATGGCTGACTGACAGCGACTGTGCAATTTATTTCCAGTGTTTCAGAGTGCGGATCTGGCAAGCCGGCCTCTGTTCTGTTGGTTATTGTCAGGATTCCCTGTCAGTGGCTCTAAACCACTTTTTTTGTGGAACATTTATTGCAATACATGTTATTCTAATTTATAGTACGTGTTTCCATGTTAACACTTAGTTTACTTCCAGCCCCATAAAATATTTGCATCTGGGATGGAATCGCACTTAAAATAAGTGTATATTTTTAAGGGAGGAATTATTTCCAGAGACCTTTATGAATTTCAGTTTCAATGCGTTTCTCCCACTCCCTATTTTTCCCGACACGTTTCATTTTGTGCAACTGTTAATGTAGGATAAGGGTTCAAAAATCTTAATCTCAATACTTGCAAGTATCCTTGAGTTTCTTTTTATTCATCAGAGTAAGGGCTAAACACTAGTGACATGACTTGTGTTAATTTGTTAATTGTGTGCTTGGAGTTGTTCAGGAAGGTGAGGGTTAAAGCACTAGTTACCATATTTATTTAGGGAAAGATTTGGATAAGTAATTCTGCTGAACTAATGGTGGTCCAATATGTCCAAGGGAAAAATATCATCCCTTCCATCAGTCAAATAATACTTTTCTTTCTGTTGCAGAAATTTGAAAATTACCATTTTGGTGAAGTCGAGCTGAACGCTGTGCACATCTCCCAAAGGTTCTCCTCTGACAGTTCTGGGTTCTACGCTTCTTCTGGAGTCATTAACTTCTCATAGGCCACAGTCTTAATGAACCATGATTAATCTTCAGGCAGTGATGTGCAGGATAACATCCTCTGAAGAGTATATCTAAAAGATAAAACTTTCACGGCTCACTGTTGTATCTTTAGAGAAACAATCTCATACTTGCCAATTAATTACTGATGCACGTCCTCTCTTCTGAGGAGAGGAGTTGAATCAATATTCACAGTTCTACAAGAACATCCTACTGACATAAAGGCCATCATTGTTAGCACATTTGTGTAAAGAACGGTGATTGTAGTGCAGTGCTGTTTGCTGGAGAAGACGTGATTTCACATTTTTAATTCATGACTTTATATCAATACCTGCAAATTAGGATAAGGGTTAGATATTTATATTTGCTTGAAATATTTGATTTGAGATGTTTAATATGTTTTTACCTATTAAGCTGAGCTGAGATATTAGTGCTGGGAAATGAAACACCTTTCCATTTTGGGCACCCAGGTCAGTCATAGCAATATACAGAGTAAAGCATGAAGCTCTACTTGTGTCATTATGTAAAAATAATAATCCTTGCATTTGATCTAGCGCCTTATCACGTCTTCTAGACGTCTCAAAGCGCTTCACAGAATATACTGTAAAGTGAATTGACTTGACTGTATATTTGTGGGCGAAACACAGCAGCCAATTGCACACAGCAGTGTCCCACAAACAGTTGTGGATTGAAGTGACCAATTTATTATTGTTTTTTTTTTCTTGAGGGATTATTATCAGGTGTGTGGAGTAAGGAAACTTGCCCAGGGTTTCACCCTGCCGGGAATCGAACCCAGGTCTCTCACTTGAAAAGTGAGTGCTCTAACCACTGAGCAACAGGACTCCAATATAGTTGTGGAATTAAGTGTTGCTTCCATTAGTGTCTTCCCACATACTGAAATCTATATTAAGATGTTCTGTTGGCAGTTGCCTAATTATTCTGTGAGGTGGGTGGAAGCAATAAGTAGTATATTCCACAAAAGCATAATATCCAGTGATTTAAAAATTACATAAAACAGTACAGAAACAAGCCATTCGTTCGAACCAGTCCTTGCTGGTACTTATACACCACACAAACCTCCACCGCCTCCAATCCCTTCTCCCACATGTATTTATTTATGTAGTGTGACATCTCCAGATTAATTTAAGTGATATACTCCAGAGGATTCTTTTCAGTGCATCCATGCAATCTTGTGTAAATTTGCAAATATAACAAAGATAATGGGTGAATTTTGAATTAAAAAAAGAACAATACTTGTTTGCATATTGTCTTTTCCCTTTTCTCTAATTGTATTATTTTACTCATTCTTTCTCCCCCCTTCTGTTTTTACTTAAACTTCACCTTTCCCAGATTTTTAACCTTCTGAAGTCTGGTTATATTGCAAACCTAGCCACTTCAATCTTTGAAGTGATTTTCTAGTACCAAATACCTACAGATGAGTTATTTCATCCACAATACCAGCACTATCATTAAGGTATTGCTGTTACAATTTTAGTTGTTTTTGTTCTGTCACCAGTACTTTCAAATTATGAATTATGGGATTGTGAATTCATGACTGCATATCCCAAATTTTAAACTGCCAAAGTGTGAAAAAGCAGATGTTAAAGTTGCTTTATCTGCAGGATATTGGCATCCCCTGGTTGGAAAGGTTTTCAATATTATTAATTTGATAAACATGTGACAACTCTCTTCAATGGAACCTTGCAGTCAGCTTCATTTATACAGATCTGATGCAAGCAAAATATCTCAAGTACTAAATCATATCCAATTCATTCATGGGAAATATTTCCAAGTTACCAAAGATCTGCCATTCAAACCTGTTGCATAGAAATCCAGTGTTAAAGCACATCCCATTAACATTCATTACAGGAATTCCAGTGTACCAAAACAACTTCCAATTCATTCACATTGGATTGAATAGCAATATGTTACATTGCTTTAGATTCACTCCATTGGGAAAAATATAATAAGCACCCAGGGCACTTGTAATTTTGATACAGTAAAAGGATTCATTATATACCAATATACAGAGCAAAAGGGCTACATGCATCTCGCTATCTGACATCAATAGGATTCTTCTATTTCATATATGTCAGGCTCTACAGAGGAGACACTCAATTAAGGATTTTTCTCCAATGGTACATTATCCATCACACCAAGAGGTGTACGATACATAAAATATCAAGTACTTCACATTGATGGTGGTTCTCACATTATACTCCGCAGTACTGTTCTCCTTTAATACTCAGTACACTAAATGAAGTCAGTCCACTGCCAATTTTCCAGAGACAATAGCACATTAGAATTCTAATCACATTTGGGGAAAATGTATGCTTTTGTTATGTGTTTTTCTGGGTTTGTCTGAAATAAATTTCTAAATGAATGCTAAGTAGCCTGTGTTACAAAGATTTGTTAATTGACCAATTTTAGCTGGAGTTTACAGAAATCCTGATCCAAGTATAATTGTGAGCCAAGAATATATAATGTGTCTTGGCAAAAAGGTTTGGTATTCATCAGAATTCAACAAAGCAATGATTTGTGTAATAATTGGCGGCTTTTCTTCCCAATCTTAAGATTTTGCCATGCCATTTAACAGATACGCCTTTCTTTATTTTACTACTGTTAGGAAATTGGTTCCACATAAGTAATCCAGATCAGAGGAGAAATGCACACTCAAAATAATTGTTGCCATAATGCCTTGTTATGTGGAATTATACAAAGATACATAGCTGCTGATTTATTCCATATTCTCTGCCACCTGACTGCCGAATATTGGATTTCTTCAATCAGTGTAGTAGCAGAGCAGAAACGTACGGTTCACTCAGTAAAATAAGCATAGACCCATACTCAAGCAAATAATCATGTACTGAAGTATGCGATTTCCTTCTCCTGACAACACAAAAGAACAGCATTTATAGTCAAGAAATAAACCATAACAACAACAAAAAATCTGGACTCAGTAAAAATTGACTGGGAAGACACGATCAGTATTCTGATGCACATTGAAGACCACATCACTGCCAATAAAGATGCACATCAGCAAAGGTTTCAATCCAATACTCGCATCTTATAATGTTTACTCAGTCATGTTTCGAGTGTATCACTTTCTATTTTTATTATATAAGGGATAGGAAGAGTTGGATTTTTTTTCCATAAATACATCAACAAGTCAATTTCTTTCTACTTAATGCAGTGTATCAACTTGCGGTTAACCCATAATAATCAAAGTTCTTTTAGACAACCTCCCCCCCCCCCCCCCACACACACACCCCTTTCATTTTTAATCTCAATGCACCAGACTGGCTCAGCAGCCAAACTCACTCAAAACACTTTTGGTTGAATCACACAGAGCTACCCATGAACTGTCTCATCGTTCCTCAAACTGTAGAACTGTTCGACTTTCCATTTGTTTCTAGTTACTTTCTAAGCCCACTGGCATCTAAACCTGCAGTGTGATAATCTTCTATTTTAAATTAGTAGCAAAAGCATAGAGTGTAACTGCCCTAAGTGAGTTCCATCAGAATGGATAGCTGGGGAAATGTACCCATAGCCTCAGGGTTCTGGGCTGATGATGTTGCAGCAAAATCTCCACACAGATCTGGGAGTTCCAAACCCCTCACAGCTTCTGCAAGTTCACTCTTGGTCAGACTTGTCTAATGAACCAGTTCGGTTTAGGGAATTCAATCCGTATGTTAGATTCCCTTAAAAGATCTGCGCGCTTAATGGTAAACGGAAACCTAAATTTAACAAATTCTCCTTCCTCATCAATGTAATTCTTCGGGTATTGTATTGTCAATTGGGGAATCAAAGCTTTGGCCAATAACGTCCCCCAATGCCCTCCATCCTGTCTCCAGAGTAGCCAACGTGATACAGCAGATATGAATGTGAACATATTATGTTAGTTGCTATCCCAAGCGATACCCAAGAAACACGGGGTCAGGTTTCAGGTGGATGGCCACATGCAGCTCCATTCTGCTCAGCTCACCACCTGCCAAAACCTTTGTGGTGCAATAGTGATGATTATCTTTATGCACTTGTCACTCTTCTCTCCCCCCCCCCACCCCCCCATCATGGCAAATTAATGCGCACAGATCCTTGAAAAGGGAAAAAATACGCCTTATCTCCGATCAGTGTTACTTAACCACTCTATTCCAGTTAAAACACATTACTTTTTTTTTCACTATTGATTTACCAATGAAGGCATATTTTTTTTATTGTGCAACTCTCATCCCTCTGCTCAGCTCCTCCGCAGAAGCCAACCATCTCTCTCCTCACCCTGGGGAGGAAAGGCCAGTGAGAGAGGTGTCCCTGAGCCACACTGATGGGCATTTCAAGTGCAACATCAGCAGACGCCCTAGAGCAGGATTCACAGCCTCCCTGCTGAAGGTTGGGGCAGAAAGACATCGTGAAGACATTGTACAGAGATATTTGCAGCTCGAAGAGAGAGAGAGAGAGAGAGAGAGAGAAAATAAATCAAAATAGCGACTAGAAAATGACAACGTTAACTAATAGCATGTATCCTCCCCAAGGCCATCAACTCATTTCCATCCCAGACAGAGACTTGGTTGGTGTTGCTGAACAATCAATGATGTGTCTTCTGAAATGCATCCAAGCTTATTCACAATTTTAAAGGAGGAGGTTTGCCTGTCTTGGTAACCTTAAGGGGATGAAACTGACTGGCACCATGGACTTGACTGACTTGTCCCTCTGTGTTTGCTCCCTTACCTGAAATCCCATCCTTAGGCTCTGGTAACCTCTGACTTTAATGCGCCAGAGTGGGTTTCACTCAATCAAGTCGGAAATTCAAAAGCCCCATTTTCACACACCTTTAAATGCACGAGGGAGAGGGAGAGGGAGAGGTGATGTGATGTGTGTGGCTCCGGCGCAGCCTCACACAGACTCAGGCTCAGATTAGTGAGAGGGAGGGGGGAGAGGAGGGGGGGAGAGGGGGCAGAGTTGCTGTAAGTAGAAGCGCCTCGCATTTGCAAAGCCAAATCTGCGGGAGAAGCCGCAGCGCTGCAGCCCCGGAGAGATGATGAAGCCATTGAGTCTGTTCCTTATGCCTCTGCTGATGGCAGTGGCGGTGGCGGATGGCGATCCTGTTAAAGGGGGAAATAACGGCAATTTCCTGGAGGATGAGCAATGGCTGTCCACCGTCTCCCAGTACAGTCAGCAGATCAAAGACTGGAACCGATTCAGAGATGTGAGTTCTCAATATATATATGTATATATATATATGTGTGTGTGTGATGTGTGTGTGTGTGTATTGAGATGCATCTCTTTTTTTTCTAGTTATTACATTTTAAAAGAATTGAAACTTATTGTTTCCGATGGAAGATATTGATTGCAAAGAGAGAGATGGAGAGAGAGAGATAAGAGAGAGAGAGAGAGAGAGCAAGATACAGAGATGGAGTTACAAGGCAACCAGAGAATAATGATTGAAATAGCACCAGTTTTCATCTCATGGATTTGGATGAAATGATCAGGAGAGAGATTTGGTGCTGCAATTGCATGTGTTACACACGAATAAGAACTGCGTGTGCCTTTCCTCTCACCGTCTTGTGCTATGAATTCACCTGCTGTCGGTCCTGGTAAATTGCAATAAACGTTCTGAAATGTCCCCTCTCATGATGGAAAGAAGACTTGGGGCGTTTTTTCTCCCCCACTCCCCTTTTTTTAACAAAAATGTATCATCCTTTGGTGATTTTTAATCGATTTTTAAATGTGTGTGCAATATATATATATACATATATATATATATATATCAGGTCTGCCTCCTGCTATTATGGAAAAATTGCAGGGAGTTTCAACCCAATTTTGATTCCTTATTTGAAGTTAGCCATTGCATCACCTGAGATGGTGGGGGAAAGGTAAAGGAGAAATGTTCTAGAGCTGAGAATTTCTTTTTGTACGTTTGTGTGCTGTGATAACGCTGTAATTTGGAGGGAGGGTGGCTTCTCTTCTGTGAGTTTGCTTCAGCAGAGAATCCTCAGGGAAATCACACACACAAACACACACAAAAACATCATTGTCTCTTTTATCCCAGAGATCAACATCAGCCTCATGTCAGGGATCAATCTGTACTGTCCCACCCTGAAGGGCGTCGCAGAGACTCAACAGTAACCAGAGTTCAATCTTTCTCTGTTACCCACTTGTCCCCCCCACCCCCACAACTCTCCCCCCACCCACACACAGAAAAAAGCTGAAGGCTTAATTGTGATCAAGTAACGCTGCCAGATTTATTAAACTTTGTTTCTCCTGTATGTATTGATTCATTTTAATTAATGGGGAGCGGATGACATCACATTTCAAGAGCCAGAAGTGAATTATGTAGGTCATCTGCATAGCTGACTATTAAATAGTTGTCATGATATTTTATCAGCCTGGAAAGGTGGGTGTTTCTTGCCTGATCATTTTTTTTTAAATAAACGGGGATATGGACCACTCTCAGGAAGCTTTACATCTTGGAATATGTGGGAACAGCCCTCTCCTGAGAGCTGCCCTATTGGCTGCAGGGAAAGGCCATGATGCTGCAGACATGACATCCATTATCATGAGAATGTTCAGGATGCAGTTTCTGCAGAACCACACTCAGGCTTTACGTTAACGCTGCGGAGATGCCCTCGGTAATACGACTGACATCATCACGGTGCAGGTGATGTCATTCTGTGTGCAACATTTCCCAACATTGTTCTTTAGTGACAATACCCTTTCCCGGCTTAACCAACTCCCCCTCACTCCACAGTCATACATAGTAGACTGAGTGCAGGTGAATATATAGATCTTCACCTGTGTGTTCAGACAAGATTATTACTGATTTTCCAGGAATTTCATAATTCAGGACCATAGAAATTTAGCAACAGGACAATAGGAATAGCTGTAGGCCAATCAGACCATTGAGCTTACTCTGTATTTTAATAGCTCTTGACAGCTCTTTATCTTCTTAATCCTATTTATCCGCCTTTTCTCCATATCCCTTAATACCATTACTTCCAAAGTGCATATCTATCTCCCTTTCAAACACCATCACTCATTCTGCACCTGTGACTCTCTGGAGCAAGAGTGTTCCTCATTCCCACAAGCCTCTGTGAAAAAATGTTCTCCAGATTAATATTAACCTACAGACTTGATCATATTTGCCAAAGAAGTTTACATTTTATTTTAAGGTCATTCCCAAAGAGAGACCTGAGGATAATATGTTTACACAGAGGACCATGAGGATATAGAATGTCCTGCATTAGTGGCTGAAGCAGAACCCATATTAGCTTCCAAAAGAGAACTAGAGAAATATTCAAAAAGGAACATGTTCAAAGGGTGGAGGGAAAGGGCAGGAGATTGGGACTAACAACAACAACAAATTACATTTGTATAGTGCCCTTCAAGCTGGGAGGACGTCCCAAAATGTTGACTAAATGCTATTACAGAATACCATAATGGACCAAATGGTTTGCTTCTGTACTGTAAAATTCTACAGCTCTATTGTGTGATTTTATAAATAAGATGAAAGAATTAGTAACATTAGGGAGAATGGAGCTGTGGGACGGTCACTCAGCTGTTGTGCTGACAGCTCCAGTGGTGCAGCGTGTTTAAGAAGCAGGATTGCCTCATTGATGTAGTTTTTCTTCCTCAACCACTTCTGAAATTACACTCAAAACCTATATTCTGTAGGACAAAGAGTTTTGTGCTCTAGACTCGCTGAGCGACCAGCAACTTATGGCTTTATGAATGGATCTGAGGGTCTTCCAATGCTCTTAATGACATATCTGAAGTGATGTTCACTGTGTGATCAGGTTAGTGCAGGTGGGCCAGGATTGTTCATTTTTACAAATCATTGTGACAGAGATATTCAGAGCAGTCATTCTCAGGAACAGTAAAGATACAATAATAAATAACAGTAGTAAATAGTAATAATAATATAATAATAATAATCCTTGCATTTGATAATAATCCTTGCATATGATACAGCGCTTTTCACGTCTTCTAGATGTCTCAAAGCGCTTCACAGACTATACTGTAAAATGAATTGACTGTATATTTGTGGGCAAAACGCGGCAGCCAATTGTGCACAGCAGTGTCCCACAAACAGTCATGGATTGAAGTGACCAATTTATTATTATTTTTTTTCTTGAGGGATTATTATCAGGCATGTGGAGTAAGGAAACTTGCCTAAGGTTTCGCCCTGCTACAGTGCCTTATAATATCTATCCAAATTGCTGACTCTCCAGCACCTTGGGATGACTTCCCAACATGAAAGGTGCTATACAAATATAATTGTTGTTGTTAAAAGTGAAGATGGTAACTTATAGGTCAGATGTTCGCAGTTAGCTTAGCTTTCAACAACTTTAACAAGACCGAATCTCATAAACAATCTGTTTCTATCCTTGGGTGGAATTTGGGGTTTCAGGAATTGCAGAGTGGGAGGGCTATGTGAGCCGTGCATGATGTATCTGATTTAACTCCTAACCATCCCATGAAGTGATCCTTGGGTGAGAGGGTTAGCAGGTGATATCCTCATCTACCAATAGGGCAGTTGGAGTTGTGTGAGTTCAGTGTCCCTCATAGGGTCGTGCCTGGACTCCACTCAGCCACTCAATAGCATTGAGAAATTATCCTGCAGGGATTCAGCGTTCATGTTTTTATTTATTTGCAGGAAGACAGGTGTTACATTGGGTTGCCATTTGTCTTCTCATTCTTCTCATTCTGCCTTCTGGTTGTATCCTGAGGCGTCCGCCCTGTAACTGTAACTAATGGCTGGTTTAGAGATTTACTCTCCTTCAGATTAACCCTCCCTCTCTGTTAGGAAGTGATTTGGCTCTCATGTATCACTTCCATATGTCAAATAGTTAAAATTGGCAACTCAGAGCGAGAGGAACCAAAAATATCATCCCATGTCCCAGTGTCCTTTCATGTCAGCAGATGTATTGGCAATGTCATCATCGCCACCAAAAATACTCTTTTGTAACAATGTGCCTTAGTATTAGTCTTTAAAAAAATTCTAACAGAAGTGTATTTTGTGCAGTTACCATCTTGGAACTGAGCCACGATGCAGCTGAGGCTGCTGTTTCCAACCAATTGCATAACCCATTACCCTGGTAACTGGTTACATAGACATACCCTGAGGTCCACTGTTGTGGCACCTGTACTGCAATGAACAGAGAGGCTGTTGTGCCCAGGGAATATGCTGCTCCACTTATTTATTTTTTATATTTAAAAAACACCTGAAGTGAATGAAGGAGGAAGGGAAAAAACTGCAAAAAAAAGGACAACAGTTCTGAATTAGGATGAAAAATTTCATTAAATAGGTTTCCAAATAGGCTTACACCCTACATGAGTGCTTTTTGGAGACCGACAGTCAAGGTTCTCTGCTGAATGACCTTGAGTATTTGGATTATTTCCCTCAAACTTTCTCAAGGCTGATTCACCTTTGGATTTGTTGAGCATCTTGGGAACTCCTCTCGTTGGCTCCATCACAGAATACCGGTAATATGAATGTGGAGGAATTGCTTTTGATTGGGGTTCTCTTCCCTGTAGATCTCTCTTTTCACTTAAGTATATGTTGCCTGATCTTTGCCACATTGATATACTAATCTATCCTGTTTTTATTTGCAATTAGTGCCTACTAGATCTGAACGTACAATTCTAGTCTCATGTTCTCATTTTAGAATGCTGCTTTGTATGATTTAACTAATAATAATTTCTAGCTATACACAGAAATTTTACTGTTGGAATGAGGGGGAGAGAGAGAGAGATAGCATCTTTATGAAATACAGTACCAATGAGTTTGGAAAGATGACTGAAGTGGATCCTGATCTCAGGCAAGCCATGGAGGGGGAGTGATCTTGAGAACATCTCCAACTTCCACTGGGTTAAGAGCAATATTGGCAGAAGCCTGGTTGCAGGCTGCCCTCTCAGCCCAGAGGAATCTCCCCTCATATAGGTAACAGAATTTATTAATAAGATAATACAACATAATTCAGAATTTGACATTTTTCATGCATCGGTTCTTCTCCTTTCTCTGGAATATATTCATGCTTTTGCAGAAGAACTTGACTGAGACAAATGTTGTCCTGGTTGAGCTGTACATCTCGTCAAAGTCAATGCATTCATGTTGCACCGAATCTGGCAGACTGCTTGTGTAATAATATCTAGTGTTGAGTCAGACTCTTGTGACCTTAGTTAGAATACAGCAGAAGGATTTCACAC